GAATACAAGAGCGAGAAGCAAAGGATAGGCATTGGCTGCCAAAATGAAGACGTTCCTCAGCGTTCACAACAGCCGAGCTCAGCGTGTGAAAAAAAATACAGAGAACAATGGGGTATGTGCCAAGGTTGTAGCCAGTACCCTGGTACTATTTAGGATACTATATGATTTGGAAACCAGTAAGCATTTACCTCCAAAAGTCAAAAGGTAATAGACAAACCTCAAGTTATGTAGATTTCGCTACCAACAGTCATCTTCAATACATTAGGTATGACTTGGACAATTAGAACTACATTACTGTACGATGTACACAAACACTGATATGGCCAATCAGATTTCAGGACGAAGAAGCCTTATTGGATTCCAGTTTAGGAGGTTTTATGTGGAAATCAACTTAAATCTATCATGTGGCATTCTTGTTGTTATTGACTCATTAGTTGTAAGAACATTTAATTTTTTGTGCTTATCAGGGAACATGACGGCCATATTATGAAAGTTGATATTTCACTACAGTGGTTTATTAGTGTAGGTGTCAGTCCCTTTGTACTAATAAAACCAAGTGTAAACATTTTATTTCGGTTTACTTTACAATTCTTCAATCCAAAACAGATTTTTCCCTTAGCTTGTTTTTCCTTGAAAAAATATATAGCAATATTGTCATATTGTAAACCAATTTTAATAACTTTGCACAAAACTCTTAATTACTATTTTAGGCAATTTATTTTATAACATTTAAAGATGTTTTTAGTACATAATACGAATGGTCTCCAATAGGAAGTTGTACATTTGACCTTTCGAAAGTTTCACTAAACGTAAAAAAGGCAATGTCCTCAAAATCCATTACATCATTATCTCCTGTTCCTAATATATTCAGAACTGTGACTTCTTGCTTCGCATATATGATACATGTCATTATCAGCATGTTTATGTTTGGTTTTCTTAAAACTAAAGAAATTATATTGTAGCATTTCCCACAAGAACAAGACATTTTTTTTTTCATTTTTGGCACAAAAAGGGCGCTTTATTCTTGCGTATGTTCATGTTTGGACTTAAAAGCCTATTTATAAACATACCACTACAGAGACTACCAAACATACATGTTTGGACTTAAATGCCTATTTATAAACATACCACTACAGAGACTACCAAACATACATGTTTGGACTTAAATGCCTATTTATAAACATACCACTACAGAAGCTACCAAACATACACGTTTGGACTTAAATGCCTATTTATAAACATACGACTACAGAAGCTACCAATAGCACATACAAGCTGTTGTATTTGCTTCTTAGGCCATTTTGAAACTCCACCTTTAAGACAATTTACAGTCGTAAAAACAGTCGGTGTTAAGTAAGCTTCCTGTTGATGGGGATGTTGAGTAACTTTCCGTAATACAGACCGACATACGCCTAGTCAAGCGGTACTAAACAGGCAAGCATTCGAGTACGATTCAATATGCTGACTGATTTCGCGTTTTCGCGTTGTTTCTAATGCGAAAACACACCAAACGGCGGGATTTTCGCCGTAAATTCCTTATGCGAAAAGGCGACATAGTAAACACGAAAAGGCCAAATTAATACATTATTAAGTTTTAAACGGCGCCTTTTCGTGTTTACTATGTCGCCTTTTCGCATAAGGACAAAAATTACACGAAAAGGCCAAATTAATACATTATTAAGTTTTAAACGGCGCCTTTTCGTGTAATTTTTGTCAATTCTTATCTTCACGCATTTTCGCGTTTATTGTAACTAACACGAAACCCCACCGCACGTCGTCTTTTCGCGAAACTTTTGTCGCATTTTCGCGTTTATTATAACCAACGCGAAAACCAAATATCAGTTTTTCTTTTCTTTTGATTCACAGATTGGCTCAATTTTGTTGTCCCGATTGCACGGAGTGCGAGTGGACTTGGAACTTTTGAAGAGGTTTGTCACTTTTTCCTTATATCACGTCTAATTTCTTAGTCTAACAACGATTTGTCATACGTTTAATTATGAATACCTTTCACGGAATACAGTCACTGACTATTTCTAAACATCACCCAGTTGTGGGTTATAGGGAAAAAAAAGACTCAGCACAGTCTGTCACCTCGGCTTTACCGTTAAAGATGATAAGAATGTGCTAACGCAAGGAAACATAACTATAAATATCCTGAAACACGTTACCAAGGACGCTATTTTAGTGTTACGCGTACGGAATTGTGAATTTTGTCAGCTGTTACCGGTCGTGCCCTATAGCTACAATATGCTTGACACCTGACATCGGCCCAAGGACCGACACTTAAAATGCAAGCCCTTTTCGAACACATTTGTAGTTACAATTGTCACAAATATTGACACAAAGTACTCATTTGAAATAGGTTCTTTGATGAAAAAAATAACTTGAACCCACTTAATATGGTCAGATCTAGAGTTAGTAATTAGGAGAATGTTAGGCCACCAGATATACTGTAGGTTACAGGAGTATGATAAGTATTATACATCCCTGGTTCTACATGTAGGAGCACCGGAACAGTCGACCCCATCTCAGTTCTTTCCTCAAAAAATAAACAAATAAAAAAGACAGCTTATACAGGGACATGATGACACATCACAAAATATTTCCTGTGCTTAGAAACAGTATCATTAATAAAGTGGTTACATGTTTCAAGTCGAAAAAAATTAAAGCCATCAGCAGAGACGTGGTATATACGTCTCTGCCATCAGTAATACACAGAGTAGTGTTTTCTGTTCCCCGCTATCGATTTGTAGTGTAGTACATGTACACACATTGGGAGTGTATGTGAATGTTTTACATCAATAATAATTAAAAAAATATAAATGACATTGTTTACAAATATTTAAAAAAAAATGTCATTAAATGTTAAGTTTATCGCAGCGCGGTGGCTTGTGTCACAAGATATCCCATCTGTGGCCCTCCGTGATGACGTCACGCAACGACGATCCAGATTGTACTTCCGGATATATATGTCGGTGTACTGGACCAAAACACACCTGTACGGCAAAGTGAAAGTTCTATTATAATTGCGGGTACATACAGGCCATGGAATGGTAGGTGAGACTTTAAGATAGAGTTAACAAGCTGCAACAAATTTAAGAACATAGTTGTACTACCAGGTGAGATCAGCACAGGTGTGTCACGGTTAATGTGTCATCTATATACAGGTATGCATCACTGCTTGTACAACTTGGGTGTACAGTAAAGTTGTGTCCTTGCAGGGGATAATGGGAGGGGCAGATTCTGTCTATATTGATGGTGGTTATTATATATCTTCTCGTCTGGTTTGATACACAGTAAGTTGTAAAAATATGCATATATTTCAGCTGAACTCTATCATGAGCTGTCCACTATGCCCTACGAATCGCGGTTTTAAATCTAAACATGTTTATACAGTAATGATTTTGCCTGTATTCATGTTGTGGCTAAAGGAATTTTGTCACACTTTTTATTCAATTTTACCTGTAATTATTATGAAGGGTTCGTATACCGTAAATTTGTGCAGAGACCCCTTACGTATTGACCGTTTAAATTTTACTCTGCTGAGGGTCTTCTAGACAAAATTAGGTTGGGAATTCCCACCAGTGTCAAATACAGTGGTCCAGAGGGGACATTTTAAGATGACCATGATCATCAATGTGACAGGTAGACAACAAGACAATAAGCTTTTAAATTTACTATATCAATTCAGGGTTTATATGGTTGTAACCCAGAATTTTAAGTAGGTATAGAAAGCAAGGAGTTATTATAACACACACAATGTTAAATATCTGAGTGCATTTTGCATGTAGTTTATACAGTAAATATAGAATTATAGGTTAAAAACTTGGAGCACTTTTCAACAGACAGGACATTTCAAAATACTGACAGCCTGCAGTCCCCCCCTCCCCCCACTCCTCAACTTGGCATGAAATGGTTTTGATGAATACTACAGCATCCAAAGTGTACATGACTATGTACACAACTTTAAATTAGAATAGATATGTTGTATGTATCTCCATATTTTAAGAGGGTGTAGAGCCAACGCAGTACTCTTAGTAAAGTTCAAGTGGGTTCCGTGGTCCTTTACTTGGATACCTGCAGGTATGCAGGGCGATTGAAAAATAGTAGGAACTAGAAGATAATAGACAATCGCAACAAGCTCAGGATACCGAAATGATCATTTATTATCATTCGTCTGCTGGTTTTGCCCGAAACATATGGGCTTCTTCGGGTCCATCTTCTATCTCCATATTTATAACACCCATTTGAATTTTGGGGAAAGTCACTGCTTCATTTTCAAATTTCGGATGAAGCAAAGTTTTTATCATCTTAGTAAAAAATAATGCACCTTTTAATTTGAAAATATGCCTATACTTATATGCTGATGTCCATCAAAGCTTATGCTTAATTTTCAGATGACTTTAAAGAAACATTCGGCCATTCAAAGAGATAAGCTATTATTGGCCAATACTTTGTTGTTTCACTTTATGTGAGGAAACAATCGTCATATTTGAGAGTTTATCAATACTGTAAAAATAATTGTTGAAATATTTTTTTTTTTTTTTTTTTTATAGTTACAGATGCTCTCAGAGTTTTCAGACTTGTGTTTCTGAAGATTTGTAAGTACTATAGACTGTTATCTGATAACCAAGGATTTCAATCTTTGTAAATAACCAGTCAATCAAAAAGTGCAGAAATTCATTTCAAAATATTTTCTACCATTTTAATTAATTTTCTACATTTACAATTTAATGCATTTCATAATTTTTTTTTTTTTTTTAGATTACGGATCAATAGTTCAACTTGAAATTTTCGAGATCGGAAAGAAAAGAAAAGCAAGACATTTAGGTCTATGGGGCATCAACAGACTTAATGCGTCTTCATAATCAGTATGTGATGGTTTGGACAATGTTTTAGACCCTACAGCACGGCATGGAGAAATAAAGATGTTGAAGTCTGTATATTTATAAGATAAAATTTATCTTATTGTAATAAGGATGTTCCTATCTCTTTGAGCCATGAAGGTGATAATATTTACAAATATTTGTTTGGCTGTGCTCTGGTGCATGCCTATTAGTACATTTGCATTTTATGTTGTGTACAATGTGAGCAGTGAGAATCAGCCTCTAACACAAATAAGTATGGATACACAAAGTAGACATTTGTATGTTGGAGGAAAGAATAAAATTATACATTTAGATAAAGACTTAAATATGGTACAGGATCATATTATTGGGCCAGTGCAGGACAATAGTAACTGTCCTCCTTCACCTCTAGCCTGTAGTGAAAGACGAACCGTGACACCCAACCATGTCCGTGTCTTGGAAATTAACGACCAAAAAGATTTCATACTTATGTGTGGTTCAGCCAATCAGGGATTGTGCTCATGCCTTTCCCTGAACAACATTTCATCCAATCATACTCTTGTTGCTGTGGACAGAGTAAATTATATCGGAACTACATCTCCTTCCACAGTTTCGGTGGTGTTCGGTTCTCCTCACAAACAATCTGGTAGCACAGATAAAGTCCTCTATGTAGCTATGGGAATGGACAAAAGAGATTTTCAATTCCGTCCAAAAATTATTTCAACACGAGAATTTAACTATATTGATTCATATTGGAACTTGCTCTATCATGTGAGCGAGAAGACATATGGGACGTACCTAACAGCGGATGATTCTGTCCAAGATTTGTTTCAGTCTTACTATATCTACTCATTTGAATACGAGGATTACATATATCATATTTCTGTACAAATGAAGGATCCTTTTGGAAATAAAACTGAAAACAACGTTTTTGTAACAAAAATAATACAGATATGTAAAAATGACCGAATGTATGCGTCGTACACAGAATTGCCTCTCCAGTGTGAACATGACGGAAAGATGTACGAGATTGCAACAGATGCTTTCCTTGCAGATGCACAGAAACTATCATCTACATTTGCAAAAAAGCTGTTTGTTACATTTGGTGCAAACAGACAACTTCATCCAAATCCAGAAGAAAATGAAGGATCAGTCATGTGCTTCTTTGATTTTGTTGAAATCATTAGAAACTTTTCTGATCTTCAAAAAGACTGCTTTTCAGGAAATGCCATACAGCCTGTGTGGGTGTATGGTAGGAAAATATCCTCCCCAAAGATGTGTGTGGTAAGCATGAAAATTGTATGATTAAGTAAGATTTTAATCTTCAGATTAAAAATTGTCTTTATGGGTTGAAATCGTTACTTGTATGATTTTTTAAATGATTACAGGTAGATGAAAAAAATTCTTGAACCTTAGAACTCACTCACTACAAGAATTTGCGACTTTATTGTATGGATGCACTCCTGTTATTGTAGTAGTAATATTAATACTTGCCCTATTCTGTCCAGCATCAAAAATGGTATCACTAGACAAAATGTTAAAAACATCTAAAATTTCATAATAGATTCACGTCTGGTCATCGACAGCTTGCTCATTCCAGGAATGAAGAGAATATATCTGTTCAATTATTAAGATTAAAGAATCGTATTGCATTCAGCAAAAGTAGAAGTATGTAATCGTAAACTATGTTTATAAATTGGTGCTCTGAGAATTTTAAGTTTTGTCCTTTTTTTTTAATTTAGGCAAGCTTTTTCGAAAAAAGTAATTATTGTGGTTATTCAAGTAACATTGGTATTCAAAACTACCAGCCAAAACACCACCTTCTGAGTATGGCTACCACTCACATTCCAAACAACATTTTAACATCAGTTGCCGTGGTAACGCAAGGTGAACATACAGTGGCTGTGATGGGCACGTTTGATGGACATTTACTTAAAACCAAGGTAGGAAGTATAAGATGAGTGCAATAATATCTCGAATATTAATTTTCAAAATATTTATCAATCAAAATGGTCTTTCATTTAGATTTATGTTATACAGTTATACAGGGGAGGTTTTTCCCAGATTTACAGGCCTGATACATAATCGAGATTGAAAAATCAAAGTATTGGTAAGACGATGTATAAAAGTTGATTCATTTCTGTTTTTGAAATATCATATTAAAACTTCTATCAATTATTGGTTATCAAGAAAATCATCAACATGTAGAAAGAGCATATAGTCGGCACTCTGTCTCTCCGGCCGTTTGTCGTCTGTCATAATTTTGATAAAGACAATATAGTGTGATGCATACCGTATGGTGTGCTGAATATCATTTATGGTGTGATGAAAACAATACCATGTGATGAAGACTATTTAAAGTCATGAAAACTGTATGGTAGGATATAGACCACACATTATGTGATGAAGGATGTCTATGATGTGATGAAGATTATGTATGGTGTGATAGATGTTATATATGATATGTGATGAAGACAATGTTTGCGGTAATGTACATTGCAGGTTGATGGAAATCACAGGGTGATGGAACCCTACCTAGAAGTCGATCTAACCAAAGACCCTAACATACCTGTACAAAAAGATATGCAAGTTGATAATGAAGAGAATCATGTGTACATCCTGGCTGGAAGACAGGTAATATACAGATCTGTTAGGTAATAGTCAGGTGATATACAAATCTGTAAGGTAATAGTCAGGTGATATACAGATCTGTTAGGTAATAGTCAGGTGATGTACAGATCTGTTAGGTAATAGTCAGGTGATGTACAAAATCTCTTATGTAAAAAGTCAGGTGATGTACAGATCTGTTAGGTAATAGTCAGGTGATGTACAGATCTGTTAGGTAATAGTCAGGTGATGTACAGATCTGTTAGGTAATAGTCAGGTGATGTACAGATCTGTTAGGTAATAGTCAGGTGATGTACAGATCTGTTAGGTAATAGTCAGGTAATATACAGATCTGTTAGGTAATAGTCAGGTGATGTACAGATCTGTTAGGTAATAGTCAGGTGATGTACAGATCTGTTAGGTAATAGTCAGGTAATATACAGATCTGTTAGGTAATAGTCAGGTGATATACAGATCTGTTAGGTAATAGTCAGGTGATATACAGATCTGTTAGGTAATAGTCAGGTGATGTACAGATCTGTTAGGTAATTCAGGTGATATACAGATCTGTTAGGTAATAGTCAGGTGATGTACAGATCTGTTAGGTAATAGTCAGGTGATGTACAGATCTGTTAGGTAATAGTCAGGTGATAAACAGATCTGTTAGGTAATAGGTAATATACAGATCTGTTAGGTAATAGTCAGGTGATATACAGATCTGTTAGGTAATTCAGGTGATATACAGATCTGTTAGGTAATAGTCAGGTGATGTACAGATCTGTTAGGTAATAGTCAGGTGATATACAGATCTGTTAGGTAATAGTCATAGGTAATAGTCATACAGATCTGTTAGGTAAATTAGGTAATATCAGTGATATACAGATCTGTTAGGTAATAGTCAGGTGATATACAGATCTGTTAGGTAATAGTCAGGTGATATACAGATCTGTTAGGTAATAGTCAGGTGATGTACAGATCTGTTAGGTAATACAGATCTGTTAGGTAATATCAGGTGATATACAGTAATAGTCAGGTGAGGTGATATCTGTTAGGTAATAGTCAGGTGATATACAGATCTGTTAGGTAATATAGATCTGTTAGGTCAGGTGATATACAGATCTGTTAGGTAATAGTCAGGTGATATACAGATCTGTTAGGTAATAGTCAGGTGATGTACAGATCTGTTAGGTAATAGTCAGGTGATAAACAGATCTGTTAGGTAATAGTCAGGTGATATACAGATCTGTTAGGTAATAGTCAGGTAATATACAGATCTGTTAGGTAATAGTCAGGTAATATTCAGATCTGTTAGGTAATAGTCAGATGATGTACAGATCTGTTAGGTAATAGTCAGGTGATAAACAGATCTGTTAGGTAATAGGTAATATACAGATCTGTTAGGTAATAGTCAGGTGATATACAGATCTGTTAGGTAATAGTCAGGTAATATACAGATCTGTTAGGTAATAGTCAGGTGATGTACAGATCTGTTAGGTAATAGTCAGGTGATATACAGATCTGTTAGGTAATAGTCAGGTGATATACAGATCTGTTAGGTAATAGTCAGGTGATATACAGATCTGTTAGGTAATAGTCAGGTGATATACAGATCTGTTAGGTAATAGTCAGGTGATGTACAGATCTGTTAGGTAATAGTCAGGTGATGTACAGATCTGTTAGGTAATAGTCAGGTGATATACAGATCTGTTAGGTAATAGTCAGGTGATATACAGATCTGTTAGGTAATAGGTAATACAGATCTGTTAGGTAATAGTCAGGTGATATACAGATCTGTTAGGTAATAGTCAGGTAATATACAGATCTGTTAGGTAATAGTCAGGTGATTTACAGATCTGTTAGGTAATAGTCAGGTCATATACAGATCTGTTAGGTAATAGTCAGGTGATATACAGATCTGTTAGGTAATAGTCAGGTGATATACAGATCTGTTAGGTAATAGTCAGGTGATATACAGATCTGTTAGGTAATAGTCAGGTGATGTACAGATCTGTTAGGTAATAGTCAGGTGATGTACAGATCTGTTAGGTAATAGTCAGGTGATATACAGATCTGTTAGGTAATAGTCAGGTGATATACAGATCTGTTAGGTAATAGTCAGGTGATATACAGATCTGTTAGGTAATAGTCAGGTGATGTACAGATCTGTTAGGTAATAGTCAGGTGATATACAGATCTGTTAGGTAATAGTCAGGTGATATACAGATCTGTTAGGTAATAGTCAGGTGATATACAGATCTGTTAGGTAATAGTCAGGTGATATACAGATCTGTTAGGTAATAGTCAGTTGATATACAGATCTGCTAGGTAATAGTCAGGTGATATACAGATCTGTTAGGTAATAGGTCAGGTGATATACAGATCTGTTAGGTAATAGTCAGGTGATATACAGATCTGTTAGGTAATAGTCAGGTGATATACAGATCTGTTAGGTAATAGTCAGGTAATATACAGATCTGTTAGGTAATAGTCAGGTGATATACAGATCTGTTAGGTAATAGTCAGGTGATATACAGATCTGTTAGGTAATAGTCAGGTAATATACAGATCTGTTAGGTAATAGTCAGGTAATATACAGATCTGTTAGGTAATAGTCAGGTAATATACAGATCTGTTAGGTAATAGTCAGGTGATATACAGATCTGTTAGGTAATAGTCAGGTGATATACAGATCTGTTAGGTAATAGTCAGGTGATATACAGATCTGTTAGGTAATAGTCAGGTGATATACAGATCTGTTAGGTAATAGTCAGGTAATATACAGATCTGTTAGGTAATAGTCAGGTGATATACAGATCTGTTAGGTAATAGTCAGGTGATATACAGATCTGTTAGGTAATAGTCAGGTGATATACAGATCTGTTAGGTAATAGTCAGTTGATGTACAGATCTGTTAGGGAATTCACGTGATATACAGATCTGTTAGGTAATAGTCAGGTGATATACAGATCTGTTAGTCTGTTAGGTAATAATAATGTACAGATCTGTTAGGTGATAATACAGTCTGTTAGGTAATAGTGATGTACAGATCTGTTAGGTAATAGTCAGGTGATGTACAGATCTCTTAGGTAATTCAGGTGATATACAGATCTGTTAGGTAATAGTCAGGTGATATACAGATCTGTTAGGTAATAGTCAGGTGATGTACAGATCTGTTAGGTAATAGTCAGGTGATGTACAGATCTGTTAGGTAATAGTCAGGTGATATACAGATTTGTTAGGTAAAAGGTAATATACAGATCTGTTAGGTAATAGTCAGGTGATATACAGATCTGTTAGGTAATAGTCAGGTGATATACAGATCTGTTAGGTAATAGTCAGGTGATATACAGATCTGTTAGGTAATAGTCAGGTGATATACAGATCTGTTAGGTAAAAGGTAATATACAGATCTGTTAGGTAATAGTCAGGTGATATACAAATCTGTTAGGTAATAGTCAGGTGATGTACAGATCTGTTAGGTAATAGTCAGGTGATGTACAGATCTGTTAGGTAAAAGGTAATATACAGATCTGTTAGGTAATAGTCAGGTGATATACAGATCTGTTAGGTAATAGTCAGGTGATATACAGATCTGTTAGGTAATAGTCAGGTGATATACAGATCTGTTAGGTAATAGTCAGTTGATATACAGATCTGTTAGGTAATAGTCAGGTGATATACAGATCTGTTAGGTAATAGTCAGGTGATATACAGATCTGTTAGGTAATAGTCAGGTGATATACAGGTCTCTTAGGTAATTCAGGTGATATACAGATCTGTTAGGTAATAGTCAGGTGATATACAGATCTGTTAGGTAATAGTCAGGTGATATACAGATCTGTTAGGTAATAGTCAGGTGATATACAGATCTGTTAGGTAATAGTCAGGTGATATACAGATCTGTTAGGTAATAGTCAGATCTGTTAGGATCAGGTACAGATCTGTTAGGTAATAGTCAGGTGATATACAGATCTGTTAGGTAATAGTCAGGTGATATACAGATCAGGTAATAGTCAGTAATAGTGATATACAGATCTGTTAGGTAATAGTCAGGTGATATACAGATCTGTTAGGTAATAGTCAGGTAATATACAGATCTGTTAGGTAATAGTCAGGTGATATACAGATCTGTAATTAGGTGAATACAGATCAGGTAATAGTCAGGTGATATACAGATCTGTTAGGTAATAGTACAGATCTGTTAGGTAATAGTCAGGTAATATACAGATCTGTTAGGTAATTCAGGTGATATACAGATCTGTTAGGTAATAGTCAGGTGATATACAGATCTGTTAGGTAATAGTCAGGTGATATACAGATCTGTTAGGTAATAGTCAGGTAATATACAGATCTGTTAGGTAATAGTCAGTCAGGTATACAGATCTGTTAGGTAATAGTCAGGTGATATACAGATCTGTTAGGTAATAGTCAGGTGATATACAGATCTGTTAGGTAATAGTCAGGTAATATACAGATCTGTTAGGTAATAGTCAGGTGATGTACAGATCTGTTAGGTAATAGTCAGGTGATATACAGATCTGTTAGGTAATAGTCAGGTGATGTACAGATCTGTTAGGTAATAGTCAGGTGATGTACAGATCTGTTAGGTAATAGTCAGGTGATGTACAGATCTGTTAGGTAATAGTCAGGTGATGTACAGATCTGTTAGGTAATAGTCAGGTGATGTACAGATCTGTTAGGTAATAGTCAGGTGATATACAGATCTGTTAGGTAATAGTCAGGTGATATACAGATCTGTTAGGTAATAGTCAGGTGATATACAGATCTGTTAGGTAATAGTCAGGTGATATACAGATCTGTTAGGTTAATTCAGGTGATATACAGATCTGTTAGGTAATAGTCAGGTGATATACAGATCTGTTAGGTAATACAGTCAGTGTAATGACAGGTAATATACAGATCTGTTAGGTAGATATACAGTGTAGGTATAATATACAGTATCATACTAGAGGTTCTGTGTCATTACTGTGTAGTGTATCAGTTGACTAGAGGTTACTATATGTATTTACTGTTAGTGTATATAAAGTCAGAGCTCCCACCATTTACTGTGTAGTTATCAGTTGACTAGAGGTTACTGTAAGTCTCCCACCATTCACTGTGTAGGTATCAGTTGACTAGAGGTTACTGTAAGTCCCACCATTTACTGATAGTGTATAGTTGACTAGAGGTTAAGTACCATTTACTGTGTAGTGTATACTTACTGTAAGTGTCCTCCCACCATTTGTACTGTAAGTGTCCCACCATTTACTGTGTAGTTATCTGACTAGAGGTTAAAGTGTCCTCCCACCATTTCTGTGTAGGTAGGTGTCCTCCCACCATATACAGTTGTTGTACAGGTTACTGTAAGTGTCCCACCATTTACTGTGTAGTGTATCAGTTGACTAGAGGTTACTGTAAGTGTCCCACCATTTACTGTGTAGTGTATCAGTTGACTAGAGGTTACTGTAAGTGTCCTCCCACCATTTACTGTGTAGTGTATCAGTTGACTAGAGGTTACTGTAAGTGTTCTCCCGCCATTTACTGTGTAGTGTATCAGTTGACTAGAGGTTACTGTAAGTGTCCTCCCACCATTTACTGTGTAGTGTATGACTAGAGGTTACTGTAAGTGTATCAGTTGACAGAGGTTACTGTAACCCATTTACTGTGTAGTGTATCAGTGTGTGTGTCCCACCATTTACTGTGTAGTGTATCAGTTGACTAGAGGTTACTGTAAGTGTCCTCCCACCATTTACTGTGTAGTGTATCAGTTGACTAGAGGTTACTGTAAGTGTGCCACCATTTACTCTGTAGTGTATCAGTTGTCTAGAGGTTACTGTAAGTGTCCTCCCACCATTTACTGTGTAGTGTATCAGTTGGCTAGAGGTTACTGTAAGTGTCCTCCCACCATTTACTGTGTAGTGTATCAGTTGATATAGGTTACTGTAAGTTGTGTTCCTCCCACCATTTACTGTGTAGTGTATCAGTTGACTAGAGGTTACTGTAAGTGTCCCACCATTTACTGTGTAGTGTATCAGTTGACTAGAGGTTACTGTAAGTGTCCTCCCACCATTTACTGTGTAGTGTATCAGTTGACTAGAGGTTACTGTAAGTGTCCTCCCACCATTTACTGTGTAGTGTATCAGTTGACTAGAGGTTACTGTAAGTGTCCCACCATTTACTGTGTAGTGTATCAGTTGACTAGAGGTTACTGTAAGTGTCCTCCCACCATTTACTGTGTAGTGTATCAGTTGACTAGAGGTTACTGTAAGTGTCCCACCAATTACTGTGTAGTGTATCAGTTCAGTAAAGGTTACCCACCATTTACTGTGTAGTGTATCAGTTGACTAGAGGTTACTGTAAGTGTCCTCCCACCATTTACTGTGTAGTGTATCAGTTGACTAGAGGTTACTGTAAGTGTCCCACCATTTACTGTGTAGTGTATCAGTTGACTAGAGGTTACTGTAAGTGTCCTCCCACCATTTACTGTGTAGTGTATCAGTTGACTAGAGGTTACTGTAAGTGTCCTCCCACCATTTACTGTGTAGTGTATCAGTTGACTAGAGGTTACTGTAAGTGTCCTCCCACCATTTACTGTGTAGTGTATCAGTTGACTAGAGGTTACTGTAAGTGTCCTCCCACCATTTACTGTGTAGTGTATCAGTTGACTAGAGGTTACTGTAAGTGTCCTCCCACCATTTACTGTGTAGTGTATCAGTTGACTAGAGGTTACTGTAAGTGTCCTCCCACCATTTACTGTGTAGTGTATCAGTTGACTAGAGGTTACTGTAAGTGTCCCACCATTTACTGTGTAGTGTATCAGTTGACTAGAGGTTACTGTAAGTGTCCTCCCACCATTTACTGTGTAGTGTATCAGTTGACTAGAGGTTACTGTAAGTGTCCTCCCACCATTTACTGTGTAGTGTATCAGTTGACTAGAGGTTACTGTAAGTGTCCTCCCACCATTTACTGTGTAGTGTATCAGTTGACTAGAGGTTACTGTAAGTGTTCCACCATTTACTGTGTAGTGTATCAGTTGACTAGAGGTTACTGTAAGTGTCCTCCCACCATTTACTGTGTAGTGTATCAGTTGACTAGAGGTTACTGTAAGTGTCCCACCAATTACTGTGTAGTGTATCAGTTCAGTAAAGGTTACTGTAAGTGTGCCACCATAAACTGTCTTGTGTATCAGTTGACTAGAGGTTACTGTAAGTGTCCTCCCACCATTTACTGTGTAGTGTATCAGTTGACTAGAGGTTACTGTAAGTGTCCTCCCACCATTTACTGTGTAGTGTATCAGTTGGCTAGAGGTTACTGTAAGTGTCCTCCCACCATTTACTATGAGAATATAATACTCTGTTGTGAAATCATTTATTTTAATTGACTTTATGTGTATCCAATACATGTTAACAGTTTAAAACATATATGATTTCAATAAAAGGCAAGAGTATTGTTTACTCATGATGTCATGTGCCAAAGTATTTTTTTGTTGAAAAAAACTATAAGATTTGCTCCCCATTATACACATTAGGTTTATCAGGATTGAATATCTTCTGACAAGGAATCATGATAACCTAAATGGCTAATTTATCTTATCATTTTCATGCATAACCTTGTGATTCAATATCTAAAGCTAGACAACTTGACCTTTAACCTTGATGATAGATCACCCCAGACTCAGGTCCATATGAGGGGCAAACCCCGATTACCATCCATGGCAACAATTTTGGATCCTCAAATGCTCAGGAGCTGCAGGCACGTGTTGGCAACTTGGATTGTATTCTGAGTAACAGAAACTTCACAAGGTTTTTCTCTTTTTAGCTTTTTTTATATGAGTTAAAAGTAAGACTGTAAATACAGCTCCCTTATCAAAGATCACATTTAAGGTGAGCTGATCACCCTATTGGCCCACTGAATTCTAGAATTTTTATGATAAATAGAATGTTAAAGTTTGTTAATTATAAGAAAGAGAAAGAAAAATGCTTGATGTTTTCTCCGTCATTCTTATGAAAAATTACAAAAATAAAGTACCAAATAGAATTGATAAAAAATGACTAAGACCTACTCAGGTATTGTTTTACAGAAACATAAAAGAAACAAATCATATTGTTTCAGTATAGTTTGCATTGCTCCAGCAGTGACGACTTCCAGCTCACTACCAGTGTCTGTGAAAATTTTTGATGATACCAAAACCGGAATCAAGTACAAAATCGATGGGACCTTTAACCTACAGACAACTCTCTTTAGTTATAAGGTAAGAATTGGGTTCAAAATTAGCCAGGGGAAGAATTCTCATTTTCTCTGAATCAAATTTGAAGAATTGACTTATCCTGAAGACAATAAAATAGTAATTATCTGTCAGTAACTGGTGATTTACTATTGGTTGGCTAATCAAAGGATTGTGAAATATTAATTAATTAATTATTATTGGTAATTCTTGTAAATAACAAAATAATAATGATGAGCATATCGTCTGACATATGTGCTTATTATTGGATCAATATAGTAGTGCTACAATTATTACTACACATCAAAACCTTGTTAAACAGGAGTTAAAATTTTCAGTAAATTTAATACAGAATAACTGTAGACAAATTGTGCTACAGTAAAACTGAATACAACAGAATTACTGTAGACAAATTGTGCTACAGTAAAACTTAATACAACAGAATTACTGTAGACAAATTGTGCTACAGTAAAACTTAATACAACAGAATTACTGTAGACAAATTGTGCTACAGTAAAACTTAATACAACAACGGTCCAAATGCTTTTAACTCCTTGTCCCCAGGTGCCAAAGATGGCCAATTTTACGCCAAGTTTTGGACCAATATCTGGCGGTACAGCCCTAGTCATCAAGGGAGACAACTTGGACATTGGGAAAGATCGTTTTGTCAAAGTAGCCAACATCCCATGTAGTTTAAAAAGGTGAGTGCCTTTGTCAAGGTGAACTCTCTTTAGATTTAAGTGTTGATAATATATGCAGTACTAAACCCGTAAGAATATGTAACTCAATCATTTTGGAAAAAGTAATTGATTAAGGAGGCCAAAGCAGAATTGCTGGAATATGCCTAAATGTATTACACAGTAAAATATACACATATGATGATGTTGTCAAATTAAACTGAAGTCTTTAAATGAAATAGGATTTCTATTGATACAGTTACAACAGGACCATGATTGCCTGTGAGACGACAGCACATACTCCAGGTGGGTTAGGCCGTGAGCTTAGTGGCCCAGTGGTGGTAAATATAGATGGAACCGATTTCCCCATCTACACAGACTTCACCTACATGACAGACTCCTTGATTTCTAAGGTGACTCCACCACGTTCCATGGCCAGGTCAGTGATAACAACCTTTCAATGAGTTAAGATATGATGGCAGAAAGTATTTCTTCTTTCAAATGTTTTCATTATTTTTTTGACAACATTCCCTTGTCTGAAGCAGCTTTGATCAATCAGTACTGAGGGCTAGGAGTGTGATGGTAGTGTGACACGAACATCAGTGTTATGGCAGTGTTTTATTATCTAGTTTTTATGACACTGTGTGGCTGATTGTCATGTCCCCGCCCAGGCATTCATTGATTGGATGGGTGGGTAACCCCTCCCTCCACGCTAGTGGGTGGGTAACCCTCCTCCCCACATGCCAGTGGGTGGGTAATACCCCTCCCCCCACGCTACTGGGTGAGTAACCCCCCTCCCCACATACCAGTGGGTGGGTAACCCCCCTCACCCAACGCCAGTGTGTGGGTAACCCACCTCACCAAATGCCAGTGGGTGGGTAACCCACCTCCCCACACCTCAATGGGTGGGTAACTCCCCTCCCCACATGCCAGTGGGTGGGTAACCCCCCTCACCCAACGCCAGTGTGTGGGAAACCCACCTCACCAAATGCCAGTGGGTGGGTAACCCACCTCCCCACACCTCAATGGGTGGGTAACTCCCCTCCCCACATGCCAGTGGGTGGGTAACCCCCCTCCCCCCACCCCCTCTCCCAATGCCAGTGGGTGGGTAACTCCCCTCCCCACATGCCAGTGGGTGGGTGGGTGGGTAACCCACCTCCCCACACCTCAATGGGTTAGTAACTCCCCTCCCCACATGCCAGTGGGTGGGTTACCCTCCTCCTCACATGCCAGTGGGTGGGTAACCCCCCTCACCCAACGCCAGTGTGTGGGTAACCCACCTCACCAAATGCCAGTGGGTGGGTAACCCACCTCCCCACACCTCAATGGGTGGGTAACTCCCCTCCCCACATGCCAGTGGGTGGGTAACTCCCCTCACCAAATGCCAGTGGGTGGGTAACTCCCCTCACCAAATGCCAGTGGGTGGGTAACTCCCCTCACCAAATGCCAGTGGGTGGGTAACCCACCTCCCCACACCTCAATGGGTTAGTAACTCCCCTCCCCACATGCCAGTGGGTGGGTTACCCTCCTCCTCACATGCCAGTGGGTGGGTAACCCCCCTCCCCCACGCTAGTGGGTGAGTAACCCCCCTCCCCACATACCATTGGGTGGGTAACCCCCTTCACCCAATGCCAGTGGGTGCTTAACCCTCCTCTCCCAATGCCAGTGGGTGGGAAACCCCCCTCGCCCAACGCCAGTGCATGTAGTCGCAGTGGTCGCAGTGAATGGGCCTCAGGTATCCAGTATGATGTCTATTTAACAACATTGGAAGCACAATGTTTTTGAAGACTTTTTTTGGGACTGGGAGTTCCAAATCTGAGGTGGCACTGATACTTGAGGATGGCATATGCTGGGCATGCCAGGTCACAATTATGAGAATGAAGCTCACAGGCAAAATGAATCATGTGATGGTTCTTGGATGTTGTTCAGCTGTGCGATGGAGTGTTGTGCTGGTGTTCTGAAGTTAGCAATGGTGAACATTGCCTGTAGTTAGATGAGTGACTGGAACTTGTGTAGAACCTGTATGACTTGGGCAAAGTATGAGTTTCCTTCTGTTTTTTGGGATTTCTGAATTTCACAGCATGACATCAATTGTATGTCCATTATGACATCATAATTATTAACATAGATACACGTGTATGGCGATATCATCTGCAGGATTTAATACTCCGTTACGGAAGAGTCATTTTAGTTGAAATCAAGTTATCCATATAAGGTAATGCACATGAAGAAATTGAGTACATTGTTATAGTCTTCTTTCAATTTTTTGAGTGATATATTTTTCTCAAATCTGGAGCTAAAATGTCAGGATAGCTGAAACTATACTGAACTCAGTTGGTTCATAACTGGTTATTCCTTAAGTATTCTTCTTACCTGTGTAGTTTTCTATTTTTAATTCATACAGTGGCGGTATAAACCTGACAGTGACCGGGACAAATTTACACATTGTGTCTGATCCTCAGATAGGAGTCACAATTGTCAAGTCCAAAAAGTCGCCTCCAACGCAGGTAAGACATTGGCCTTCTAACCCTATACTCTACTGTACCAACCATACATGTTATTATAAAAAGGACAGACACCTCTAATGTACACACTAGGTCTCTGTTACGAAATTAAGTATCTTGTCTTCCTTTTTGTCATTCTCTGTCAGCATTAATCTCTAAGGTAAAATCAACGCATCCTTTTTTTTCTTTATTATTAAAAACTTTTTTTTTTTTTTTTTATTTGTCTGTTAACACCAAAAATATTGTTGAATTTATCAACATTACAGATATATTGATTGTCAATGTAAGGCATGATGATTGTTCAAGATGGCAGGCACTTTTGTATTGGCAAAATATTAGCATGTAATCCAGTTCCATACTTTTGATCAATCATTGAGGGAGGGGTGAAATAATGTGTGTGATATACCTTTATATCTGCATTTAAAAGATGAACATATCAACAAGTTGTATATCATTATATGTGTTACAGAAATGTAAAGCCACAAGTGATGGTCGAACAATGTACTGCCCCTCGGTCAACATCACAGGTTTTGTCGAGGAAAATCTTCCTCTCAAATCTGAGGAATATCACATTTGGTTCAAAATGGATGGCATCAAGAAACTCGGCCCGAAGGAATTTGTTGACCAATCTTGGATGATATTTCGATACTATCCTGACCCTATCTTCTACATGTTCAGCGATAGTGGACATCTGCGTAGTATAGACATTGCTGAGACAACGTTGGATATTAAGGTAACCTGCCTTGATTATATCAGGCCATTATTTGTCACTACTTCACTAAAACTTGTCCATTAGCCTTGTCTCTCTATCACTTTGTCCTGGTCATATCTGGTTTTCTAAAACAAAATATGGTAATGTAATGCATTTTTTTAGGTCACCTGAGCCGAATGGTGACCTATTGTCATCATGATTTGTCTGTCATCGTGCGTCATAAACTTTTCACATATTCGACTTCTTCTAACAAACTACTGAATGGATTTTAACCACACTTGGCACAAAGCATCCCCATGGGAAGCTGCTTCAAGTTTGCAAAGAAAAAGGGTGTGGCCCAAATAGGGGCTGCAGGATGGGGAAAAAGGGGGTAAAATTAGGTAAATCTTTAAAAATCAAGAACCACTGGGTTGATCATGTTCAAACTTGGTACAGATGTTTTACACACGGTCCTGTACAAGTGTTGTTACATTTTTGCAACATTTTAAAATCCCCAGATTATTGACATATATTCCTCAGGTGACCGTTAAGGCCCCTTGGGCCTCTTGTTATTGGATAATATTCCTGATCTCATTACCGATATACCCATGGATTGTTAAGTTGTTGCTATGAAGCTTTTTCTGATACTAGCCCAAATATGGCAGCCATCTTTCTTGTTTAGACAAATGATTGGTATAGACAATGGAGAAATTTATGGTAATGACATGCTTAAATGTGTAAGTGAAATGTGAGGTGGAGAGTATGATGATAATAATTTTAGTGCTATATACCATATCACATTTCTCTGGTTGCAAGTGCATTTGTCGGTGATGTAAGAATGTCAATGAATATGATAACTGTGACTGTAGATAAAATTCTCAGACAAGAATTAACTTGAATTGTCATACATATCACAACTAAATGAAATAATTTGTCACATGGCATTGTTTCCTACCATTACTGGATTATTCTAAACAGAATGATTCACACATTCCAATCTCTTTTTGAAAGAAACATGCTTACAATTTGAGGTGAGTCCCCCATCATTTCTCAAAGTCTCTCTGTTGTTTATCGATCTGTATTTCAGTGAACAAATACCTTTGCCATTCACAAAAAGACATGCCAAATTTTGGGTATATACACTAGGAATTAATATAAACAACAATTTAGGCAGATAATCCACACAGAGAAACGTTTTAGGCCTTTTCATTAGCCTTGACCTACATCCAGACCAGATTCTGTTGACAGCTTGACACTCAAGGGTATATATTCCATCTATCCATCTAGTAGATCATTTTTGCATAAATTTAGCATCATGTTTCATATGTCTGAGTCCAAAGTTGACATTTCAATTAATCAGGTTCAGTTAACAAAAAAGATAATGTCAAGCAAAACAGGCCATTCATTTATTCAGAAATTTATTTTAAGTTTTTTTTTTTTTTTTTTTATTTTTAATTAATTAAATTATTTTTCAGGAAATAACAAATGAGATTTTTTTTTGTTTTGTTTTGAGGGAGACATCTTATTTTGATACTTGTTCTCTTTTGGTGGTAATGGTTTCTTGTCCAGTCAATCAGTTTTAGATTATTCAATATAACTCCATGAAAGTTGCTGTGAATTGCCTGAAGTCAATGTGCAGTGCAGTGCTGTTAGATCACTGACCTTGACCTCAAGATCAAAGGTCAAACAAGCTGATTTTTTCAATAAGATCTTGTCTGCGAGATAATATTAACAGGTTATCACAATGAAAGTTGTTGTACACCTGTCACTGTGACCTTGACCTTTAAGGTCAAAGGCCATAATATTTATTTAAGAGATGACCCCACTTGAAATTCTGTCACCTCAAACCAAAGTATTATACAAATGTAGTTTTTTTAGGGATTTTAGTAACAGTGCAACATTCTGTAGATATAAGTTATTGAGAGGGGATAAGTCAAAACACAAGTTAATCTATATGTGCAAAATGTGGTGAATATTTGCTCGTAGTATTGTGTTTTAAATGTTATTAACCAATTCTGATGAAAAACCTTGCGTGCAATAGTTGTTATATTCAACATATATGTTTTTCTGTGCCTTGACTACTTAAACTTGCCAGCATTGTTAACAGTAACAAATACAACAAAATTGATATTTAAGGAAAATAATATCTTTCTTATTCACCAGTCCATTTTCAAAAGTAACAGATATGCATTTATTTGCTTGAAATGGGAGACAAACGTTTTTACCGAAAACAAATCTTTAGGTTAGTGTTTTTATGTTATAGGGAGAATATCTCAACTATGGTATATCTAAGGTAGATGTTGTGGTGAGAGTTGGGACCAATGGACTGTGTGACGTCATCGACCTCAAGAACACTGTCATGACCTGCACCTTACATAACAAGCCTGCTGAAGCCTCATCACAGAAACATCGTGTAACAGTAAGTTTCTATCCATCATGAGTTTTAATATCATGTCTAATTGCAACAAATATGACTAAGGCGTTCTTTACTGCAGAACCAGACTTTCGGATATTTCTGATCTACGTATTGCTGGATAAGGAAAAACATAAATGACAATGCAATGGGATATTTTCAGGTAAAAGCCGGTGGAATAAAGAAAGATATTGGATTTCTAGTCTTCACAGAGAAGGAGGAAACAGCCCCAATCACAACCATCATCATTGTAACTATCATCATTGTCATCATAGTCCTTCTCATCATCCTACTCATCGTCATGAAGAAGAAAGAAATTTTTATATTCGGAAAGACATCAGATCCGTACATGGCCCATTACCAGGCTGTACGCACGGATGTTAATGGCCAGAATCGAGCAAATGGTTAGTATTCAACAAAGATTGCTTCATTACCAGTTCTCGTTTTTAATGCCTTCCATTATAACTTTCTGATTATAACCATATATCCAACATTTCCCTGATGTTGCCATAAGTTCCTGGATGTCAAAAAATATTATAAGATATCTCTCTACTCTGGTATCAATGATTTTTTTTTTGTCACTTTGCTGACTTCCGTCCTTTTTCCGAAACTAGAATATCAAATATAAGATATGTAAATATAAAAAATTTAATATTTATATTCTTTTACCTATGTATGATTTATGAATAATTTCAATTTGAAGCAGCTTTGAGGTGATTGACTGAGAGATATGATTATTATCGGCAGATTACACGGAACAGCGGATGTCAGAAAGTGGAGCAGCAGCCTCTCTCCTATCGGGTATAGATGATGATACTCTGCTGGTTCTCAGAGATAAAAATCTGCTTATTGAAAGAGAGTGGCTCACACTTGGGGAAATCTTAGGGAGAGGTGAGTATTTCTATTTATTTCAGAGAGGGGTTAGTACAATCAATGTATGTTAAAAGTAGGTGTTTTAATAATTGTTCATAAGAATTCAATGTATAAACATTACATTTAGTCTGAATTAAGGAAACTTGACTGGTCCATACAGTCGTACAGCCATTAGGGAACTTAACTGATCCTTAGAGTGTACAGTTGTATTGGAGAAAATAGCGGATGGAGCTGGTAGAAAGACGATAAAAAGTATAGAGGCTGGTAACTATGTATTGTATTGGATTCGGCTACACTTGGCACAATGTACTGGATACGATATTCACATTTTACTTAAGTATCCAAGGGTCAATTCCCTCATATGATTTTGGTCACATTCTTACCTGATCGTTTCTCTAGGTTCTCCAGTTTCCTCAAACATTAACACTTGTTAATTATTGTTGTTAAATAAGTGAAAATCAGTTTGAATTGAAATCAAATGAAATAGTGAAGATTAATGACGGCAGTGCAAAGCAAGGATTTTCAATTGTACATTTTCTTTTAACACACGATTTAATTTCAGGTCACTTCGGTTGTGTACACAAGGGTTACCTCACCCTCCCAGGTGCAAAAGAAGATTCATTGGTGGCAGTCAAGACATTGCACAGTGAGTATTTACAAATAAAATTCAGTATTGGTACATTTCCATTATTCCATCATAGTTTGAGCAAATACTGTGGTTTTTTGGTGAATAAATAAACAATTTTGGTATTACACTGTTCCATTGTAAATTTTTAAGCAATCCTTTGTTATTTTGATATGGAGAAATACTAAATGTCTTCCCTTATACTTACATTCAATGCACTTTAAATCTTTTTTTTAATTTTTTTTTGTGATTTTACTATTTTTCATCAATACATGGATAACCTTTCCACCATTAAATTCACAGATATTGAAGCTTATGTTTCAGGTTGTTACAGTCAACAATGTCTTCATGTCAATTATTCACTACTATATTTTCTGATTGCCTGTAGCACCGACTACATCACTTTGTATGATTTTGTATTCTAACACCACACATGCACTTTTGTAGATGACAGCCCAAGAGAAATTGATGTACAGAGTTTTCTGGAGGAGGCCATGCGTATGAAAGACTTCCATCACGACAACGTGCTTACTCTGACTGGAATCTGTTTTGGAATGGATGACATGCCTCTGGTTGTGCTACCTTACATGAGTCATGGCGATCTGTTGTCTTACATACGTAATGAACAAAATGTAAGTATATAAGTATATGCTGCTGTCTTCTTTTCCCATAAATACACAATGACTAAGAAATGTGAGATGTATTACAGGATGCCTTATTTTTGTAGAAGAGTTATAATTTTAGCCAATATTACACTATATATACCTCCTCCTTTTTAAGTCATTTAAAAACAGTTGACAGGTGTTTCTTTTTAATATAATATAGTGATTGATAATTTTTTAAGCTCTTTAATTCCGAAATTGGAATTTATTTTTCATTTTAGAATCCAACAATTAAAGACCTGATAGTTTATGGTATAGATATTGCCCAGGGTATGGATTACTTGTCAGGACTCAAGTTTGTCCACAGAGATCTGGCCGCCAGGAACTGCATGTAAGTAGAGGTTTGCTCAGATCAAAAAATTATGAAATTTGAAATTAGTTGTAAATTAAGGATGATGTTGTTGTGATTTCTTTGTGTTGTTGATTTCTTTGTTTACTACCAACATTTAACATAACTGGTTCCTTCTGATTTAAGTTACCCCCTCCCTTGAACAGTTGTTGCATTTGTTTAAAAAAAAAATTTCATGGTCCTGAAATAAGGCTGCCCTTTAGCTTACAGGAAGAAGTAACTTGTTGTCTTCAGGGTAATTCTAGGATAGATATTGAGATTACAATGTTTTCTGTATGTTTGTACACATAGGTTGGATGAAAATTTCAAGGCCCTGGTTGCTGACTTTGGCTTGTCCAGGGATATCTATGAACGGGATTACTACAGTAGTGACAACAAGAAGAGTAAACTGCCTGTCAAATGGATGGCTCCAGAATGTCTTGAGAAGGGAAATTACAACTCCAAGTCTGATGTGGTTAGTACAGTCTGTGTGTAGAAATGTAGTTGTAATGTTTTTAAATTGTCCTAACATCCAGCATCAACAAAATATTTTATCTCTGATTTTTTCATAACATCATTGAAAATTACACAGCATAATTGAAATATAACATTTTATCTCTTTATATCAGTGGTCCTTTGGTATCTGTCTCTGGGAGCTGATGACAAGGGGAGTTAACCCTTACCCTGAGGTAGACAACTGGGATGTATTGAGATACATTAAGGCAGGCCGAAGGATGCCACAACCTCCTTTCTGTCCTGATACATTGTAAGTAAACTCAAAACCCACCTTCTAAATATCCTATAGCAGTGGTGTAATGTTTTAAGAGTAGTAATGCTCATTCACATTAATTATCTCAATTAGGCTTTAAAATACGGAGTTATACACCTTTGTTTTATTATGTGTTAAATGTATATCAAATTCAGTTACTTATGTTTGCATATGAGTATCCACTTTAAGATGTTTAAATATCTTGTACTAAAATTAGGTCTTGTTCCATTTTAATAGTATTAGAGTGACACAAGGAGGGGCAACAGGATATATTTCTGTACATAGTGACAATATACAAAGTTATGGCCCTTGATTCCAGCTCTTTCACTTTATTAGAGACATGTCCCATATAATATATATCACCTAAATTACTTAATGTATGTGGTCACCTCTGGGGATTACATAATGTTACAATATGAAATAGGTTGTATGTGATTGATATAGTAGACTCTGTCTAAACCAGACTTTGTGCGATCCAGATATCTGCCTAATACGGTTTAAGTCTCATTGTCAACATTAAAACAATTTACTCTCTACAATTAATTTGTTTCAGATACAAAATTATGACAAAATGCTGGATGTTTAACCCAAATGAGCGTCCCACCTTCTCCGAACTGGCTCACGAGGTACGGGAGATGGTCACTGTTCTACAGCAGCAGATGAAACAAGGCCAGAAGCGTAGTAACATACAAAGTACCTATGTCAATGTAGAAACTGCCACCGACTACCATTATGGTGACGCTAACCAGTCTGCCATCATGACACCTGATGCGGAAGAACACGATATTGAACCTACAGAACCAAACACAACAATTGCATAGTCCCAATGCTCAATAATCTTTCTGATGTACTTTAGAGGGCTTTTTTTTTTTTTTTTAATTTTTATTACATCTTCAATGTGTCATAGTATTATATTGTGTTTGATTGATATGGCATGGAATGCCTTGAGTTCTTCAGATACAATGATATCTATGTGTGAGACTGATAGTGTATACCTGTTTAGCTTTAATATGGTTTGTTTGGTGCCGAATCAGTCTGGATGAAATATAATGAACAAGTTTCTCAATGGTGTTCTCGATTTTTCCAGAATATTTTACTAAATCATTGTGCTGTCGTTAATTCCTTCTCAAACGAGACCTCAATGTATGAACTGTTATAATTTAGATATAATCCTGTGTTGTGTACTTCACAATTAGATATATATGTAAAGAAGTGAAATATCAATGTATACTTGTTGTCAACTCACCTCAGGGCTGCATGATGGTAGCCGTATGATTTGCTCAAATCATGAAAAAATGATTGATTTACTTAATATCCTTCTGCGTTGGATCAGTATTTAAAATTCTTAAATCAATTTTTGGATCTAATTTTAGCCAAATAATGTTCAAACATAATATAGGACATTATCTTACTACCTATAGATAACTAAACAATTAGAATTGACTAGAAAGTCTTTTTACCTGTTTATCCTTTAAACACCTTTTCACCCTTGATTCTGTAGGGCTATGACCAGATCATAGATGATAAGAGATCAACAACACAGATGATATTGATATTTTCAAAAACTTCTATCGATCATAAAAACAAGATTTAGACTTTTTCTTAAAATATTTTAATTTTATATAAGTAAACTTTATGGTGTTCATGAAAATACATAGGATCCAAGTTCAGTAGGTTCCATTGTAGATCAATTTGTGATGTAAGATAATGGTTATTTTCAAATTTGTATACACTGATGAACTGGTTCTCCAAAAACCTTAATTGAAATAAAATCTTGAAATAGACACTTAATTGTATGATCACCATGACAACCATCAATGTTTGTTGTTTGTAGATGTTGTATTAAAATTTGTTGTTTTTTTATGTTGATATATTTTATTGAAGTTTATTCATTTTTTTAAGGGTTGTTGTTATTTACAAAAGTTAGATACTGAGTACATTCCAAAAAGTGTGGAGTTATCCAAACTTACAAATGATTTTTCTGAAAACTTAGTTTTATACCATGTTTATGTATATCAATGATAACCTGTATCATAGTGAGCATTTTATAGTATTAATTGTGGCAACTCAAAGTGGTTAAATTACCCAACAAAACCAATTAATAGCATATGAGAAATTCCAACCTGTTGATTGGATAAAAATGTATCTTGACTGACTAAAATATCATTTCAAGCTTTCATGTGGAATTAAACACATACTGAAGGTATTGTATAATTCAGATAAATTTAACAAACTTATGATCAATGGTTTGAACTGCATGTTTCCCTAAACAAACAAAACTGAACAATTGTACAAACGAACCTCAGATACTATAGAAACCACATATCAGTGTTCCACTTTTATTTATCAAGTTTCATTCACCTTTTTGTTTATGTCAAATGTGTCGTGGCTAATTTGTGTCTTTATTTGATTTTTATTTTGTTTAAGAAAACTTTGATTTATTCTACAGAAGTGCTCTATCTATAACATAAGTAAACATAGATATATGGGGTTTTGTGATTTATAAGGTAATTGTTTTAATTGATTTTATGTTAATATAAAAAAAAATACTAATAGCTAACAATCATTGCGTTCATTTATTTTTCCAATATCAGTAATTCTTGAATAATTGATTTTCATGAAATGTGATAGAAAAATGATTTCTTGGTGTAAAATTGAAAAATGTTGAAGGCAACAGATCACAATTATCTCCTTGATGGTAAATGAAATAGAACAAGTGGCAGATGGATTTTTAAGATGATATGTTTCAGTTTGCAAATATACATCGTGTTTTGCATGATTTCTTCTCTATTTTCAAGAAAAAGAATAATATTAAGTTTTTTGTTACATTTATAAATGGCAGATAAAAATATTTTTTCTAAAGCGGTATTTTGCTACTTCATGTGGATTATTTCTCTGAAATCAAACATTTTGAAAAGTTGACTTGTTTCTTTTGTACAAATATTTGGTCCTATTTGAGTACATTTCTTGCTAAACGAGATGTTACCATGGCTAATGAATTTCTAGTCCCTATCATCAGAGTGACACTGACCACAGTCAATGGGTCATTATTGGTCAGTGTTCACCTGGATCAACTGAGTTAATGTACGTAGGTACAGGTATTTTTTAGCAGGATGCTTGTCATCAGATTGATTGACAGAAATGGATTTGAAGAGGTGACATTAACTCTCTTCTGTTTGTACAGTTGAGTTTACTGAGCACAGTCACTCCCCTTTGTGTGAGGTATATTGTGTCAAAATTCTACAATAGATATTTACCAAATCAAGGGATTGTGCAATGTTTTTTTTAACAGGGACTTTAAACAACTTTTACAAATAATGTAGTAATTTCATTCAATGAAATGTACTATGCATCATTTTGATCTCTGTCTAAAACACAGGATGTTAAACCAAGAAAATGGTGATTATCAATGAAAGTAACATATATAGGCTTTGTTAAGGGAATGATTATGTAGATAAACAAAATGTTTCCAAACAGCACAGATAATACTGAATTTGAGAATTAACTTAATTAAAAGACTTGTAATGAATTAATGACCATTGGGTTCTTAATTGTGTGAGCAGGGGGATGGGTTGGGGTGGGAGGGGGAAGATGGGGTGGGGGGTTTAGGGTGAGCAGTACATATTTAAGGTGATTTCATATGATACTCAGGGAGTTCTAACCATCCTGATTGTTAACCACAAGTACAACGAAACTCTCGACAATTCTAACAAAAAATCGTCCTTGCATTTCACATTTTGTCTATGATCATTTCTGTCATTGGTTAATTTTATTGCAATTTTTAAAATATAGCATATCCACATAGATTGTTATTAACAATTTGCTAATAGATAAACATTGCCAGGTTAATTATAAAAAATATGATTATATAGAAATTGATTACCTACATACCCAAAGCAATTGTATTTCAGATCATCAATTTAATTATGACAATATTATGTAGATTTATTTAATGATGGACGTGTGTATATAAAAATTACTGGAACCTCTAATTAAAAGCTCATTGATACAGACTCTTCCCATTCATTGCTCAGAGATGTTTTAGTATCAAAGTACCACTATTTGATCTTCAACCATAAAGGGAGGTAACTTTGATACACCAGATTACCTAAATGAGTGTCAATATTTAACTAAGGTTTGATTTTGTTTCAAATGTATGGTTAATTTCCACTTGTTTTTACAATGTTCTATATTGGACTAATAACTTAACATTTTGGATACATAATTTACTTTAACATTGTGTCATTGATCAATATTTTTATAACATATCATCATTATGTGTATGTGTACAGTTCATTGATAGATGTCATTGTGTAAAGTGTCATTTTTCAGTCTGTAAGGTGTTGAGTAAATTACCTCATTGTGATATGGATTTTTTGTCAAGTGCATCCTTAGGGTCGAGAGATATTTTTCATTCAGAGTTGCTTAAGTATTTGTTGAATCTTATTGCACTCTTTCCTTTCTTAGTTGATAATGGCACAAAGGTATTCACATAGAAAAAAAGCCCTGTGTGAGTATTTTGGTAATTGTGTTTCCTGTAGAATTTGAGTGAAATGAATTAGGTTTTGTATAAAGATATTGTGAAGTCTATTCTATGAAGAGCTCCATGTCAAAAGATTATATGATAACCACATATCTTGTATTTTAACTGTTAAACATTGTAAGACTTAATTTTCCAACTCTCATTGTAGCATTGATCTGTAAAGAGTGAATGAAATGTCAGAGATTTTCCTGTTCCTTATCCAAGGATCTGTTTATAGATGTCCAGTACACATTGTTTCCTACAGTTGTATTTTACCCAAAGATATCCTTATTTTATGGCAGATTTCTAAGTCCTGTATACTGACATGGTTGGTAAATGGGATGATAGTATTTTTCCAGCATGACTTTTTACCTGGTCTATAAGAAGAATGAAGAGGGAGCTGTGGAATGACCTTGGAATCAGTGTCATTGGTGACATTGACGGCTAGGCTGCCAGTTAGGAAATGCTCTAGTTTATATGATGGAATATGCATACTAGGTTGCTGATAATTGGTATGAGGGTAGATTTGGGTTATGCAATTCATTTAACAGAATGAAATAAGGGAAATTTTAAAAAAAAACTGGCATTTCAACATATTTTTGGACTTTTTCTTTTTGCTGCATTTGTGTTGAAATATTCCAGTTTCTGATTAAATATGTGTATTAGGATGCTGATGTATGGGTTTGGGTTGTGTTAGTCATTTAACAACAAGAACTAGGATTTTTTTATTTGAATCTTGACATATGTTTTAATTACTCAGTTCATTGCTCTCAGCATTGTGAAATGTACCAGTTGACATTGTGAGGGATCCAAATAGTGACCCAACCCCCTCCCCCACCACCACCATTTTCTATATTGCATTGCATTGAACCTTGTTAGTGATAGAAGAAAACCAAAAAACTATGGTTCAATTTCTATATTAATTCTGTTATTTACTGCTTATTACCAAATAGATAGATATCCTTAACTTAACAGACAGCTTTAACCTTTTATTTGGGGCACACAACATTAGCATGTATTATCAGGTAAAAGTCCCAACTCTGGATACATTTGTTATTATGTTGCTACATTACCTTGGTTTATCCAGGGCTATTTTGTGGCAGGATCTCCTTGTAACAGCTGGTTGCTGCCTCACTGAACAACATACAGGAGGCCCATTACGTGACATCTAGAGAAATAAAGGTGTGGTGTCGTGACCAAGGGCATAACAAGAACACAAAGCACTACGGATGTTGATTGTTAAATTATGCAACCAAAGGTTTTCGCTTGAGGTTACATAGGCAAGTGATCTTACAGAGTTATCTTTCCTTGTTATCATGTTATAAGTCATTAGGTATTACAAAGAGGTGTGTCCTAATGGATTTCCTGTATACAACTAGCTGGTTGTCGTGTATTGACGCACATCAACTAATATTGGTTAACCAGAAATATAGTTGATACTATGCATATATGACAGAGAGAAATGGGACGACACTAAGTGTGTTTTACTTTCACATATCATAATACCTTCCTTGTATTAAGGTGGGAATTTAAATAAAATTCTATGTTTACATACATTCCATATCTATATTTATACACATTTCAAATACTTTTTCAACCATAGCATGGTGCTACATTTATAGATAAAACAGATAATGTAGTTTAAAATAAACTGAAATCGTGTAACTACATTCATCATTTTTACAAAGCTCTGTACTTTTGATGTTTTGAGCTGAAAAATCTGGCATTTTTCGTTTCTTCAAGATACTTGGAATACAATGTATGCACTGGATTTTTTGTAATTATTCATTATATTAATATATACTTATAAGATATGTACTGAAATGTCCTTTTTATAAATAAATCAGAAATTTTCTTTATATATCTGAGTTTTTTGTTTCATTTACTTAAGTGTTTATACACAGGATTTAGCATCAACATGACTTCAGGTAAAAAATCAGGTTGGAATGGAAGAAAACGACCAACTTAAGTACACCATGTACTAGAAATCTTTATGTTGGATTAAAAACAACCAGAAAATACAGACATGTTAACAAAATCTTTATTCAATACTAAAATCAGTTGGACAATATCAGGTAAGCATCTTCTGCTTCATGGGTGAAATCTGCCATGTATATTCTTGAACTTTTCAACATTTTGTTGGTTGTATACAATCATTGGTAAACAGTGATGTCATCGACAAACTCACTTTAGTGAGATAATTCTTTAATATAATATCATATAATACCATGATATATGTTGCATTAACCTCTATATTTATGTGTTAATATCTAATGGTATAGTGCCCTATTGAAAAGCTGTATGATAAGCATGATGATTTCATTTTCCCTGCAGTTAATTTTGTGTTTCTGGATAGCAACATTCCTTCATCTCCAACCTATGGTGTTTATATGTGGCAATTGATTTAAGGGCATGTACCCAATATGAAGATTATCTTGCAAGATGTCAACAGACATACTCAATACACAGGGTTTCAAGAGATCCAGGTTGATGAATATTATGGGCAAGTTTTACAGTCGTCATAGTGATCTCGGTGAGAAATATGGATGTGTTTGGTGCTCTTATTTTACCTGTTTACTCCGTTGTATTGGTGTTTTCAAATTTTTGTCCTTTTCACTTTTAGATTTTACACAATGTAATATTCTTTAATATAAACATTTTTTCAGCACTTTGATTTCATCTGTTGATATACTGCGAAGCTTGTAAAGTACAAGTAAACACGAAAGTGAAGTATTTATTTTTTTATTTATAAAAACTTGTTTTATAAACACATCTTCATCAACACAATGACCAAAATGTTAGAATAGTATATTCATATGTTAAACATATCGGGGAAGTAGGAAGTTAGCTGGTGGACGTTAACAGGTCATGTCTTTATCATATACTTCTCATGGACAAAGACACGTGTGTCTTTATCATATACTTCTCATTGACAAAGACACATGTGTCTTTATCATATACTTCTCATGGACAAAGACACGTGTGTCTACATCATATACTTCTCATGGACAAAGACACGTGTGTCTACATCATATACTTCTCATTGACAAGGACACATGTGTCTACTTCATATACTTCTCATGGACAAAGACACGTGTGTCTACATCATATACTTCTCATGGACAAAGACACGTGTGTCTTTATCATATACTTCTCATTGACAAAGACACATGTGTCTTTATCATATACTTCTCATGGACAAAGACACGTTTGTCTACATCATATACTTCTCATTGACAAAGACACGTGTGTCTACTTCATATACTTCTCATTGACAAAGACACGTGTGTCTACTTCATATACTTCTCATGGACAAAGACACGTGTGTCTACATCATATACTTCTCATGGACAAAGACACGTGTGTCTACATCATATACTTCTCATGGACAAAGACACGTGTGTCTTTATCATATACTTCTCATTGACAAAGACACATGTGTCTTTATCATATACTTCTCATGGACAAAGACACGTTTGTCTACATCATATACATCCCATGGACAAAGACACGTGTGTCTACATCATATACTTCTCATGGACAAAGACACGTGTGTCTACATCATATACTTCTCATGGATACAGACACGTGTGTCTATATCATATACTTCCTATGGACAAAGACACATGTGTCTGTATCATATACTTCTCATGGACACAGACACGTTTGTCTACATCATATACTTCCCATGGACAAAGACATGTGTGTCTACATCATATACTTCTCATGGACAAGGACACGTTTGTCTACATCATATACTTCTCATGGACACAGACACGTGTGGCTATATAATATACCTTTCATGGACACAGACACGTGTGTCTATATCATATACCTTTCATGGACAAAGACACGTGTGTCTATATCATATACTTCTCATGAACAAAGACACGTGTGTCTATATCATATACTTCTCATGAACAAAGACACGTGTGTCTATATCATATACTTCTCATGAACAAACACACGTGTGTCTATATCATATACTTCTCACGGACACAGATACGTGTGTCTATATCATATACTTTCAAAACTCCATTTTCTATAGAAAATACTGTAACGATAATGACAAAATCAGTCTATATAGATAAATGATCGCCATATGACTGGTCAACCGCTGTGTAGAATTTCAGTTTAACTGGTAAAAGTATGCTGTTGAAATTAGCAGTCAATCATCTATACATTGCAACCAAATGATACTCCATATATTGTACTACTTCCTCAAATTTAGTGCCATTTCTGGCTTTATGTTGTCCACAAATGAAGAAAGACAAGAATTCCACAAAAGTGGATGTGTCGCTTACCTGGAAAGGTTTCTGGAGTTTAATGGAACAATAGCCCTAGTTATTCATTGGATTTATTCCATTTATATAATTTGTTTTGCTCCGAATAAAGCAGGAATAGGGACAACCCACATGGAAAGCTCAAACAACCCGCTTTGGCTATGAAGCATTGCATGAAGTTTTAGTCTAATTGTACAACGAAAATTCAAGTAATCACACAAAACCAATTTTGCATTTACAGCTACAATGACCATGACCTTTGACCTTTTGACATGAAAAGCAATCACAAACTAGTACCTTTGGTAAGGTAATTGTAGGAAAAAAAAGTTTTTATCTATAGTATCAGTGACCTTGACCTTTGACCTTCCAATCTGAAAAGCAATCCTGAGCAAACCTCTCTGGTAAGGAAGCATTGCATGAAGTTTGAGTGTAATTGTCTAAAGAAGACTCAAGTTATCACATGAAAACCAATCTCCTATATATGGTAACACTATCCTTTGATCTCGAAACCCCTAAAAGCAATCCCATCGCAGCACTTCTGATAAGGTAGCACTGTAGGAAGTCGGCCTAAAGGAACAGGAGTTATTGCAAACAAAACTAAATTTCTATTTATAGTAACAGTGACCTTGACCTTTGACTTTCGAAACTGAAAAGCAATCCCAAACGAAACTTTGGAAGTACAGTATGAAGTTTAAGGTTGATCGGCCAAAGGGAACTTCAGTTATCGCGAGAAAACTAATTTTCTATGCATAGTGCCATTGACTTTCATCTTTAACATTTGGACCTGTAAAGCAATCACAAGCAAGCCATTTTGGTAAGGAAGCACTGTATGTAGTGTAAACTTGACGGGACAAAGGGAATTGAAGTTATCATGAAAAAATCTTTGTGCGGATGATGACGCCGACATAGTAATACCTATATACGACACAAAAACGGCCAATGACAAAGAAACATATGTAAAGACACTTGATAATGTTATTTTATAGCTATTATAATATACCTGGTATTGTAAAATATATTTGTCAAGGATACGATTTCAATCCTTAACACAAGCTGGATTAGATCAAAATAGATCACGTGATAAAAGCAGGTACTCACCCACTTCAAAAGGCGTGATGACCTATTATATTGTATAACAGGAACGCAGAAAAATGACACCGGATCTTGCATATTTCTGAAGTTTGAGAATGGAAATCAACATTTTTGATAGTTTTTTGAAATGTTAATCTCCGATATATGGCAGTACATTTCAGCTGAACCCTTCACCAACAGGTAGTGTATGAAGGACCAAGTAGCACAACGGAAGGCAATAAAATGTAAAAATATATTGCATTTCAAAGTAAACGCCTTCCATTTGATGATCAATATGGGAAGTCTGGTCAAATATCAGATAACAAGTAGAAAGCGAAATATATATATATTTTTTTTCGAAAAATAAGATATGAAGCATATATATAATCATTAACAGTTTCATTGAGAGTTGTTAGAATGGTAAAACGTACACAAGATTCTGCTGAGTGTTTCTAAATCAGGCAAAGTAAAAATTAATCAATTATCATTGATACATTCAACTTAATAAACAAAAAATAATAAGCATTTAAGCATGATACAATTTGTACATATGATCTTTCAACTCAGCATAACGTTTCAAAAGACATTTTGAAAATACCAATCAAAATTTGATTAACCTTGAAAAGATGAAAAGGAATGTTGAATACTGACACAACATTTAAAAAAAAAACTACTGACCCTTATCAACATAATGAATATTAAACAGCTGATACCGCATTCATACAGTTTTTTCCTGTAAACCTTCGTTTTTCACCTAGAGTTAGGTCAATGTCAAATTTACAACACTTTTGTTTCTAGGCAAGTCAAGGCATGTAAATATGTCAACAATTTTTTGCCTTTAAAGAATAAGTTTTAAATAAGACACGTATATCGGACAAAGTTGTTGCACAATCAGAAAAATAAGGATTTACAAAAATACATAAATCAAGGTCGATACAACATACATCAATAAAACATTGTGATATTTATAACTCAAGACATGATTCATAATATATCCTTTATAAAAATTTCAAAATATGACATTAAAAATGGATTTACCGGTTTCTTATGAAATGAAAAAGTCTTTTGAAATTACGATACAACACGAATGGCTGTTGGCCTACTATACAATCGTTGTGTTTGTTTCAGTCAGTTCGATGTTATGCTCGATGACATCAGGCGCCATGATGGCCGCCTGGTTAGCGTCACCATAATGGTAGTCGGTGGCAGTTTCTACATTGACATAGGTACTTTGTATATCACTACGCTGCTGGCCTTGTTTCATCTGCTGCTGTAGAACAGTGACCATCTCCCGTACCTCATGAGCCAGTTCGGAGAAAGTGGGACGCGAGTTCGGATCAAACATCCAACACTTCGTCATAATTTTGTATCTGAAAATGGATGTTTTAGTGTACTTACAATGTATCAAGAGAGACAGATAGAAGGTAGGTTTTGAGTTTACTTACAAAGTATCAAGAGAGACAGATAGAAGGTGGGTTTTGAGTTTACTTACAAAGTATCAGGACAGAAAGGAGGTTGTGGCATCCTTCGGCCTGCCTTAATGTATCTCAATACATCCCAGTTATCTACCTCAGGGTAAGGGTTAACTCCCCTTGTCATCAGCTCCCATAGACAGATACCATAGGACCACTGAAGAAAACAAATAAAATTCACTTAGATATAAATATGTATGTGTTTAGTTATTGTTGCTGGATACGAAGCCGAATACGCAATACTGCCATTTAACTGTGAAGACTAAGACCAAAATAAGTAAAAATCGAAAATACTTTTCAGAAATGTTCCAGTTGGATGTATATTATGAGCTTACTGATAAACTATTCTCAGAATTACACAAAACTTCCTACTAACCACGTCTGACTTTGAATTGTAATTTCCCTTCTCAAGACTTTCTGGAGCCATCCATTTGACAGGCAGTTTACTCTTCTTGTTGTCACTACTGTAGTAATCCCGTTCATAGATATCCCTGGACAAGCCAAAGTCAGCAACCAGGGCCTTGAAGTTTTCATCCAACCTACAAACGAAACAGCAGGATACTTGTCGGAACTCGTTAATTTATGAAATAAACAAATTCAGCACAAGAATGAATACTTTACATGGTGGGTGTTTGTGGCAGTAGACGTTTGCTACTACGCAACACCAGGGCCCGTTTTCATGAAACCATTCTCATGCTCACGCATATATTTTGTGCTTAAGCAAACTTTTTTATAATTCACCTAAATCATATAAAATAACACAAATGCCAAATATAAACATTGAATATAACTTTGACTTAAAGTCCTTTCAAATTTCATTCTAATCTTTGGCAAAATCAGTCTTATTTATTAATATTTAACTTAAACAAGACATAAGGCTTGAGCAAAAAATTCATGCTTGAGCATGAGAACGGTTTCAGGAAAAGGGGCCCTGGTCTCTTTTCTCCTTGTACTCTCTCAAGAGTCTCCGAGTAATTATTTCCTTTGTTCATATTTTTCCTTATTTTCATCGAATTTGTCATTGTCTCCTTGGTCATTGTCTTTTTACCTATATCTTATCTATACTCATATTTTTATATCAAAAGATCACACAATGATATACATTCAAATAATAAAAATATGAAGTGATTTCGTTTTGTTAATGTAAATGTATATATTTATATATGACTACCATATACAAACTAGTTAAATGGTGCTTTACATGACCCACCGTCTTTACATTCATGCAATTTTTGCCAAATACTTTCTATAATATGAATACACTACAAAAAGAATAGATAGAACCTTACATGCAGTTCCTGGCGGCCAGATCTCTGTGGACAAACTTCAGTCCTGACAAGTAATCCATACCCTGGGCAATATCTATACCATAAACTATCAGGTCTTTAATTGTTGGATGCTAAAACAATGATAAACAATATTAAACTCAAAATTTAAAGATTTCTTTTTATAAGTATTAGATTACTTTATATTGCCAATAGAATATCCTATGGAATGTTTCACATCTTCTAAGAAGAAAATCAGAGAAGACAGATGGACATGTTAAGTCTGTCGACTTACATTCTGTGCGTTTCGTATGTAAGACAATAGATCGCCATGACTCATGTAAGGTAGCACAACCAAAGGCATGTCGTCTATTCCAAAACAGATTCCAGTCAGAGTAAGCACGTTGTCGTGATGGAAGTCTTTCATACGCATGGCCTCCTCCAGAAAACTCTGTACATCAATTTCTCTTGGGCTGTCATCTACAAAAGTGTAAGTTATAGTATTATTAGATATTTAGCCACCCAGCATCAAAAGGTTTTATGCATACTGTGACCAAACGGTAAAGTATTACAAGAGATCACGTTATGACACGTTAAAATGAATAATTCACATATATTACGAAATGATGAAGCGCTAAACCTGATTAAACATATCCTAGTACAAATGATATATGTGATAAACTGACGAAATGCTAAACGAGATCAAATAATGAAGTGATACATGTGGTCAAGTGATTGACTGCCGAATGTAATAAAGTGATTGACTGATGTAATAAAATGATTGACTGCTGAATGTAATAAAGTGATTGACTGCTGAATGTAATAAAGTGATTGACTGCTGAATGTAATAAAGTGATTGGCTGATGTAATAAAGTGATTGACTGCTGAATGTAATAAAGTGATTGACTGCTGAATGTAATAAAGTGATTGGCTGATGTAATAAAGTGATTGACTGCTGAATGTAATAAAGTGATTGGCTGATGTAATAAAGTGATTGACTGCTGAATGTAATAAAGTGATTGACTGATGTAATAAAGTGATTGACTGCTGAATGTAATAAAGTGATTGACTGCTGAATGTAATAAAGTGATTGACTGCTGAATGTAATAAAGTGATTGACTGCTGAATGTAATAAAGTGATTGACTGCTGAATGTAATAAAGTGATTGGCTGATGTAATAAAGTGATTGACTGCTGAATGTAATAAAGTGATTGACTGCTGAATGTAATAAAGTGATTGGCTGATGTAATAAAGTGATTGACTGCTGAATGTAATAAAGTGATTGGCTGATGTAATAAAGTGATTGACTGCTGAATGTAATAAAGTGATTGACTGATGTAATAAAGTGATTGACTGCTGAATGTAATAAAGTGATTGACTGCTGAATGTAATAAAGTGATTGACTGCTGAATGTAATAAAGTGATTGACTGCTGAATGTAATAAAGTGATTGGCTGATGTAATAAAGTGACTGACTGCTGAATGTAATAAAGTGATTGGCTGATGTAATAAAGTGATTGACTGCTGAATGTAATAAAGTGATTGACTGATGTAATAAAGTGATTGACTGCTGAATGTAGTAAAGTGATTGACTGCTGAATGTAATAAAGTGATTGACTGATGAATGTAATAAAGTGATTGATGAATGTAATAAAGTGCTTAATGTGATCAAGTGATGTAATGATGACGAAGTGTTGAAAAGTAGATAAGGAATTCATGTAAGAAGATATGTGCTACGTGATACATGACTTATCTAATGTACTTTTAACACCAACAGAACTTATCAAACAAAAATATCAAATTACCTTTGTATCAGAGAGACACAAACACTATCAATCTGATACATTATGTAAATAGAAATATGGATGAAAGTATTGAACCAAATAGATATAATTAAAATGCTCCTAATTCAAACCGAACAGATAAGAAGTGCCATACGATTGTACAGCTGTCTCACCTTTCAGCATAGAACGTTTTAAAATAAGCTTTAAAAGAACACCACGGACATTCATGTGTTTTTCATGTTCTTGACTGGTAAACTAAGCATAAGAATTTAGTCCTGTTTTAGAGCAAATCAAAGAGACAGAACAATTAAAAAGCTCTGTTGTTAACCCTGAATGTTTTGGGATGTCCTCACCCACCTCTTAGGTTGCACATGAAGAGGATAACAGTTAAGAAGGGACGAAAGCAGGATTGCTCTGACAGAGAAAATTCCAGTGGGAGGTACAAAATACTATCTGATAACACCAATATTTCTTTCATTTGTCAGATACTCACTATGTAATGTCTTGACAGCAACTAACATATCTCCTTTAGTGTCGGGAAAGGTCAGGTATCCCCTGTGCACACAACCAAAATGACCTGTAAAATAACCAGTCCAATGTAGCAGCTACTCGAATTGGATTCAAATTGCGCACTGAAAATTTGACATTTCAAATATCCAGCCTAATTTGTACTACAATATATAGTACTACCTTGGCGATAAAGAATAGTATAAAAATGGAAAAAAAGTTACTTAAAGTCTGGAACATTCCTCTGACGCGAAAGTGACTCTATATCGCGATTGGTTGATATTTGATATATAACAGAGCTTTTAGAAAGTGAAATGAATACAGTCTTAACATTACAAGAAGGTATGCAACAATGGTAAGACTTATCATATGGCAGCAACGTCACATATGTATTAGCTTGTTTTACACAGAAAGGGGAAAGCTCTGTACAGCATTTGATTTCGCAACATGTGAGGTAACATTTACAGTTATGATCACATTGTTTTCAATATTTGCTCTGACATTTTCTGTAATGCTTGTACTGCTCGGATTATACTCTCTGTTGTCATTATCGTGTCAAAAACATCAATATTATCCCCTCAACCTCACCCAGATCGTCGACATTTGTCCTCTTGAACAATGATTGCACTACCTTTATGTTATTCTTCTTTGATCATTCGTATACAAATAAATAATGAAAAAAAATTAGACATCCACCATCTTCTTAAATAACACCAAATAACACTGACCTCTCCCCAAAATTTCCCCAAGTGTAAGCCACTCTCGTTCTATGAGAAGGTTTTTGTCTCGAAGAACCAGCAGTGTGTCATCATCAATTCCGGAAAGAAGAGAAGCTGAAACTCCACCACCTTCCGACATGTGCTGCTCTGTATAGTCTTTCAAAAGAAATGCTAAAGTTTGTACCAAACAAGTGAATAACACCTTTCAATACAAACTGAAATTAAATACAAAGTTAGAGTTGGATGTATTATAGCCAAAAATGAATTGAACTGCATCATGCAGCTATTTCGTACTTTCCCGATCCATAAGTGGTACTAAGGATTTAAAACATTGCAAACTAGTTTAGTACATAAAAGTCTAATTCTTATTTAATTAATTTGAAAAAAGCAGATTCATTTATCATTATGATTTTCTGTTGGGTGTGGCGGTTATTGAGATTAAAAGTTAATTTGTATACATGTATTTATACAAACCATTCGCTCTGTTTTGAATGTCTGTTACTCTTTGACCGTTAGAGTAAATGCGGACAGACTGATATTGGGCCATGTAAGGATCCAATGGCTTTTTAAACGGATAAATATGTTTTTTCTTCAAGGTCACAACTAGCACAATGATCAAACTGATGACAACGATGAGAGCTACAACTAGGACAATGGTCGTGGTGGGTGTTGCTTCCTCGGTCATGGTGAAGACCAAAAAACCTATATCTTTCTTTACTGCTCCTGCGAATACCTAAAAAAGTTTTGCTTTCATATAATCTTCCTTTATGAAACATATTGATCAGATAAAAGTTTACACATAACATTATCCAGGAACAAAAAAAATTCCAGTAACATTTGTCCTCGTGTTGCCATGATTAGTAATGAAATGTCAAAGTGAAGATTACAGATAGCCCATTGGAATGTGCGACTCTCTTCAAACTCGATCTGTGTTGAAACATTGGCAGTACCTGGTCAAATGGCATAGGGTATATCAAAATTTACAGGGTGCAAACATTTAACCCCTACCTCCTACCAGTAATTACCAGTGCTAATTAATGCATCATATACACGTTATTTTCCCGACCCAGATTTCTTGATTTAACATCATTTATGCATCGTGAATATTCGAGATGAGCAAAATATCTACAAATCAATCATGAAAAACAAGCTTACAATTAGTGTTACTAAACTAAGATTGTATAAAGGTTCAACTTAATCGATCATTCCTAACTCAAGTTAACATCTGGAATCCAAAAATCTATTTTAGCAACAGTGATCTCCACGGCTGACTTTTCTATCCAAAACACAATCCACAATAGGTCTTCTACTAAACTAACATTACATCAAGTTTCAATCTAATCGGCCATCCATTACTCAAGTTATTATCTGGAAACCCTCCGGACAGACAGACAGACGACGGACGATGACAGACACTATAAAAATCACCAATCATGAGATCCAGTTCTACTTACCGTCACTTTATGCTTTTGTAACGAAGCATTGACAGGCTTATTGTGAAGAGCACAATACATAACGGTATCCTTGAGATTGGTGATGTTACAAAGTCCATTTTCCCCAACCTTGACGGACATATCTTCAATAGTTATACCCAGGTTGAGGTGTTCTCCCTGTCACGGTTCAATAAAATAGTATTATTATATTTATTATACAGATTTTAAATCTCACTTGTTTTACAGGTGATTTGAAAATATCTGCACTCCTTAATAATAAGCCAAGGATTGTTTAAGGTTGATATGTCTATATTGCCATCAAATATATTTTTCACAAAAGCTGTAACCAAACAACTGACCAATAAAAACAAGCCCAAACACTATTTATAAATTGTCTGAAAATACCGTGCAGGTCATAAAGGTTCATTCTTATAATATGGACAATTTCTAGTAAATGTTTGTGTCCTTTAGTATCCAAACTCTTCTAAATCTTCTAAATAAGATTCCTTAATAGGACTTTAATCACAACAAGTCAAATATTCCCACGTTTGAAGTCTGGTGAGTTTCTTTTAAAATGTTCATTACTTCTATGAATATCATGCTCAAAATATGTTTTTAAAAAATATTCCGCCATTTAGTTGTTGAAACGAAAAAAACATGTTGATGTACGTTTCATAGGGTTCACAAGTATTACCTTTATGTCCAATATTGACTCAGAAAGGTCCATGTATCGCAAATGTCCACTACCGCTGAACTTATAGAAGTTAGGATCGGGATAGTATCGGAAAATCGCCCAAGCCTGATCAACCACATTTTTCTGACCAAGTTCCTTAATGCCATCCATTTTGAACCAAATGTGATATTCCTCGGAACGAAGAGGGAGTTGTCCATCAATGTAACCAGTGATGTTAACCGATGGACAGCGCATTGTTCGACCATTAGTAGCAGCTTTGCATTTCTGAAATAAATTGGTAACATGTATGAGATGAATTATTTCACCGGAACTGCTACGCAAACGTTCAAATAAGTAGACTGTGCATAAGTCTATCAACCTATCTTCTATTACAAAGACGCTGCTGCACAAACCACCCTAAATGTGTAGTGTGCTTCTGTAGATTTGAGGTATAAATACACCATACGTCTTTTCTCCTTTTTGAAAATAATGGATTTGGGTCTTTTGAAATTTTGCTTAATATACTGGTTGCACATATACATAGTATCTTAAACAAATAAAGATGTAGAAGATGGAATTTTCCGAATTAGTATAGTATTTTGTATTTTTCCTTCCTTGATTTTACAAATCAGCTGGGTATGCATGGCTGGGGACGTTTATTGCTGTGATTCGGATGTGCAAACAATTGACTAGTAAAGTAATACTAACAAAAGTGTCCAATATGTACCTGTGTTGGAGGTGTCCTTTGGGTCTTGACAATCGTAACTCCTATCCGAGGATCAGCCACAATATGTAAATTTGTCCCTGTTACTTTCAGATTTATACCGCCACTGTACGAAGTAATATAGTTAAGAATTATGCAAGCGAGAATTTTTACCGGTAGGAATAATGCAGACAAAAATAACACAGACAAGAATTATTAAAGTAAGAATTAACACAAGTAAGAATCAGGAAGGTAAGAAAGACACAGGTAGGAACATCACAGGTGAGAATTGTGAATGAAAGAGCAACAAAAATAAGACATATTTCAATTTCTGTATTCTAAAAGCCTTACGGCACACGTGGTACAAGGTTAATATTTTAAGATGCTGTAACACATCAACCCTATCACATACTCTTACTCTCGTCCTTGCTGCCAAGTACTTTTGCGATCACTCGCATTCATAAATCATTCTCGGCTCGGCTTAACCATGAATTTATGAATTATATGTCATATATTGTACAGGAGAGTGAAACAACAATGACGTTAAGCATTAACAATAAACATTAAGAACGCAGTTTAAATACAACATGTAAGAAATGTCCAAGACTACCTTTTTCTTTGGTATTATTGACTCTTAGTAACTGGAAAATTTTAAATACATTTGGTTTACGCAAATAGTACGATTTTTAAAGTATTTGATAAGCAAATCTAAATAAAAAGGACACTTCAAAATAAAATTTAAAATTCATCTTTAATATCATGATCATTATATAAGGTACACATTCTATTAGCTGTGGCGATATTGGTATATATTCCACTTTCTATATTAAGTTTATATGACATCAATATTATGTAAAGTAAAATTGCATCCCAAAATTATTGATCAGATGTTGATATATAAAATCTTTAATGACAAGTTGGGGACGTGATATTTTTCATGTCTACATTAAGAAGAATAGATTGTGATGACTCACCTGGCGATCGAACGTGGTGGAGCCACATTAGAGATGGACGAATCGTTCATGTAGGAGAAGTCTGAGTAGATGGGGAATGTGGTTCCATCTATATTCACCTCCACTGTGCCACTGGTCCCCTGTCCAGACCTGCCTTGTGTCCAGGCTGTCGTCTCACAGATAATCATTGTCTTGTTGTAGCTATTATAATGAAAATCCTTCTTTTCATTAACAGCTTTGTTTTCATGTGACTCAATGCGTTTATAGATATTTTTCAGTTTGTCTTTTAAGGATGAAAAATTTGATGAAACAGAATTTGTGTGAGCCATACCTTGCCTTAAATTTTTTACTGAAAGTCGTGATCAGCATTACTCTTAACTATTCTGAGATTTTGTATTCTACGTTGTGAAACAGTATCTTTGACTGCTGTAGATATAGACGGTAAGAGTTAATACTGAACTTGATAAAAACTAAAACAGAAAAAAAGTGCGGATTTTGAATTCTTAAAAAGTAAAACAAATCAAATAACGGTACACACATAGTAACAGTTTTTTTGTAATTATTTAGTAATAATGCCTCGACGAATTCGAATTAAAGTAGATACACGATTGGAATAGAAATAAATGGTTCGTCATAATACGAGACACCCACCTTTTTAGTGTGCAAAAGACGCTGGCTACCTTTACAAAACGTTCTTTGCCTATATTCAGATCAAGACCTTCTATTGCCACTGTCGTACCACCAGACATTGGTCCCAAACGAGGTGTAAAATTTGCCATTATTGGCTTCTGAAAAAAAAAGGAGTTAAATATTTCTGATTCTTTTCAGCTCACGTGGTCGAGGAATGAAGGCGAACTTATATCGTACCATGGCGTGAGTCGTCCATCCGTCCTTCGTCTGTCTTCACAATTTATTTTATACAACTGGTCACGAACAACTGAGAGGGTTTTAACCAAATCGCGCTAGAAAAATCCTAAGAGGAAGATTACTCAATGTTGTATAATTGGTGGGGTCTGGGAGGCGGGGCCAAAAAGAAAATTTAGATCGGGTTTAACCTCGGGCAGGTGGGGGGAGAAATGTGGCAAATTTGATCCAAAGTATTCTTTGGTGAAGGGGAAACAAATTTTATAAACAGTGAGTCTCGCTCACCTTGCACGGGAGGGATGGGGCCCAATGGGGAAAATGAGCATTATATGGGAGGGATGGGGCCCAATGGGGAAAATGAGCAATATATGGGAGGGATGGGGCCCAATGGGGAAAATGAGCAATATATGGGAGGGATGGGGCCCAATGGGGAAAATGAGCAATATAAAAAAACTTCAGGTATGTTTAAAAATATATGGTCTAAAGCATCCTTGGGTGAAGAAAGCTAAGTTTTATATAATTGATGCATTTGACCCTCATAGGGCTGTGGGATGATGCCTAATAGGGGAAATATGCATAAATCGTTTATACACTTTTTCTTGAGTTTCGAAGACGCAATTTCAGCGAACTAAAGCAGGTGAGTGAAACAGGCCTTGGGGTATCTTGTTCCATATGTCTGTATATTTAGTTTTTACCAATTTATGTACTTATCGTATTTACTGAATCAGTAAAATATGAGATGTATGGTGAATATTCATAATTTTCATATTATGATACTATCCTGGCTGGGCCACAGGTTCGACTATAAGGTTGTGATACATGACAAAAATTATATATTGTGGGTCATTAATTGGTATAATATTCCAGTTTTTACCTTGTAACTGAATAGAGACGCCTTAAGGGAATACGTCCCATTAATCTTGTACTTGATTCCGGTCCTGGTGTTGTCAATAATTTTCACAGAGACTGGTAATGTGTTGACAGCCATTACTGGCGGAGCAATACAAACTATACTGAAATTATATAAATTGTCTTGATCAATAGCTTGGAAAAAAATCTGATTTGCCTGATATTTTATAAAGTTTTGATAGATATTATTTATCAACTTTTCATCACATATTTTGAAGTTTTCTCAGTTGCCATCTAGGTTTCAACATTTTGGCCCAATTAACAACTGACTAGTGCTTGAAAGAAGGAAGAGCTGCTTGGTACATTTGGTACCTTTTGGTTCATTTTGTTTGCTTTATTTTATGTAATTCTCAAGTTTTATTGTAATGTGTTATTCACTTATATTTCTTTCGTATAATCTTTTCTGTCGATATCACTCAATCCCATCATTGTTCGTTATTTACAAATGAGAAAATCTTACGCATAAATTATGATTTTTATTTAGCGGAGTTTAACAATTATATAATGGGAAATCATATTGAGACAGATACCTTGTAAAGTTTCTGTGTCTAACAGGACAATCCATTCCGCCCAAACGAGCCTGTATCATCTGGGCACGAAAAGACCCAAAGTTATGTCCTTTAATGGTGATGGATGTGTTCCCTTCAACAGGACCAGTTTGCGGGCTGATCTGGTGAAGTAGAAGTTTTCATCAAGCGTCACTAACATAGTATGTTAATTGAATTATCAGTATTCAACATATCTCTAACCTATGTAAGAACATTGATGGTCACTTTATATACACATCACATGATTAAGCAAAGAATAGAGGCATACATCACAATATACCAATGAACTAGGTTGAAATTATCTATATTCGAAATGAAATTAATTCTATGATATGGTTGGTGAACTTTCCCATATGTATTTTGACATTTTGTCCACTTTTGAATTTCCTAATTTGTCACCTAAAATTTTGGGCAATTGCATCATTGACGAGTCCTAGAAGGACGAAACATATGTATGCTGTAACATCAGTGACGAGTGCTAGAAGGACGAAACAGCTGAATAATGTAACAGATGTAGCATCACTGATGAGTCTTGGAAGGACGAAACAGCTAAATGATGCAGCATCACTGATGAGTCCTAGAAGGACGAAACAGCTAAGTGATGCAGCATCACTGATGAGTCCTAGAAGGAAGAAACAGCTAAATGATGAGTATCACTGATGAGTCCTAGAAGGACGAAACAGCTAAATGATGCTGCATCACTGATGAGTCCTACAAGGACGAAACTGCTAAATGATTCACTATCACTGATTAGTTCTAGAAGGACGAAACAGCTAAATGAAGCTGCATCACTGATGAGTTCTAGAAGGACGAAACAGCTAAATGATTCATTATCACTGATTAGTTCTAGAAGGACGAAACAGCTAAATGATGCAGCATCACTGATGAGTCCTAGAAGGACGAAACAGCTAAATGATGCCGCATCACTGATTAGTTCTAGAAGGACGAAACAGCTAAATGATGCTGCATCACTGATGAGTCCTAGAAGGACGAAACAGCTAAATGATGCTGCATCACTGATGAGTCCTAGAAGGACGAAACAGGTATATGATGCAGTATCACTGACAAGTCGTAGAAGGACGAAACTGCTAAATGATTCACTATCACTGATTAGTTCTAGAAGGACGAAACAGCTAAATGATGCAGCATCACTGATGAGTCCTAGAAGGACGAAACAGCTAAATGATTCATTATCACTGATTAGTTCTAGAAGGACGAAACAGCTAAATGATGTAGCATCACTGATGAGTTCTAGAAGGACGAAACAGCTAAATGATGCTGCATCACTGATGAGTCCTAGAAGGACGAAACAGGTATATGATGCAGTATCACTGACAAGTCGTAGAAGGACGAACCAATTGTTTGATGCATTGCTTTTCTGATCCTTAATGTATCCCCACACAGATGTTATTCACTCATTTGTCTGTCGTACAAACATTATTTAATCGCTACTTAAACAGAGCTGTACATCTTTGTCCCTCCCTTTCCTTGCAAAATAGTGCATTTTAAGAATGTCCATCCATTTTTCAAATAATACAAATTCGATTGTTTGACAAACACTATAATTTCGTTTCAAACCTGGCCACGATTAGTCGTAATTTCTCCTAACGCAAATTGCCGAAATCAAAAAACATTACCAATTTACATGCTCCATGCGATACCCTACTATTCTTTTATCATAAATGTTTGCAACCTCCTCTCTAGGTTTCTTTTGTTCCTTTCGATGATTCCCCATGTTGTTCGTCACCACACCTTCGCCAGAACACGGACTTGGTCATCTAATTTCGTGATTCAATATGTAATCCATTTCATCAAAATTATTTTTACATTAATCTCATAACTCTATAAGTTTCAATAACAGCGTTCAGTGATTAGACGAAACAATGGTTGCAGATACAAAAGTCACTTCTGCGTGAAAGTTGCGAAAACTGCAGACGGAATTAGCCAAGGTAAAAAGGAGTATTTCACACAAAAAAAGCTCTGTTCAGGAAGTGTTATAGATTACTTTCTGAACATAAATCAGACAAAATGAAAGTATAAAGGAATTTATTTGCCAATGAAACGTATCGCTTGACTTGGCTTAAAGCAGTGAAGTTTGAGTTCGAGTTCCCTACCTTTAGTGTTTACATGTAGTATATGTTTGAATGTCAAGATAAAAAAATATGTGTAATGATTAAATTTATTTTATATCATATTATTATATTATATAACACTATACTATTATATCATATCTATCATTGTGTTATAGTGTGTTTTATAGAGAATATGTTTTTGTAGGATTACATCGATACAAGAGAGCATCCGTAGATTAACACATACTTACAGAATATATCATAGGATAACATGTATCCAAACTTGATGTGGTCAGGTTACCTAGCGGCTGGATTGGCTCCACACACTCTGTTTTCTTTGTACAACGGTTTAAACACCATCCGCACCCTAGAGGGTCGTCCGCGACAACACATGTTTCACATGTACTATACACGTCACAGGTAGAAAGGGGGAACTTTACAACCTGTAACAATTGGACTGTAAGCTGAAGCCAAGCTTGGTCTGGTCGTGAAGCTGATTGACCAGTGTTATTCAATAATTTAGTATGAAAAAAAGATCTCTGTTTAAAGTATGCCATACCTTACTACATTACTATTACCTAACAGATCTATATATCACCTGACTATTACCTAACAGATCTGTACATCACCTGACTATTACCTAACAGATCTGTACATCACCTGACTATTACCTAACAGATCTGTACATCACCTGACTATTACCTAACAGATCTGTACATCACCTGACTATTACCTAACAGATCTGTACATCACCTGACTATTACCTAACAGATCTGTACATCACCTGACTATTACCTAACAGATCTGTACATCACCTGACTATTACCTAACAGATCTGTACATCACCTGACTATTACCTAACAGATCTGTACATCACCTGACTATTACCTAACAGATCTGTACATCACCTGACTATTACCTAACAGATCTGTACATCACCTGACTATTACCTAACAGATCTGTACATCACCTGACTATTACCTAACAGATCTGTATATCACCTGACTATTACCTAACAGATCTGTACATCACCTGACTATTACCTAACAGATCTGTACATCACCTGACTATTACCTAACATGTATATCACCTGACTATTACCTAACAGATCTGTATATCACCTGACTATTACCTAACAGATCTGTACATCACCTGACTATTACCTAACAGATCTGTATATCACCTGACTATTACCTAACAGATCTGTACATCACCTGACTATTACCTAACAGATCTGTACATCACCTGACTATTACCTAACAGATCTGTATATCACCTGACTATTACCTAACAGATCTGTATATTACCTGACTATTACCTAACAGATCTGTACATCACCTGACTATTACCTAACAGATCTGTATATCACCTGAATTACCTAACAGATCTGTACATCACCTGACTATTACCTAACATGTATATCACCTGACTATTACCTAACATGTATATTACCTGACTATTACCTAACAGATCTGTATATCACCTGACTATTACCTAACAGATCTGTATATCACCTGACTATTACCTAACAGATCTGTACATCACCTGACTATTACCTAACAGATCTGTACATCACCTGACTATTACCTAACAGATCTGTATATCACCTGACTATTACCTAACAGATCTGTACATCACCACACTATTACCTAACAGATCTGTACATCACCTGACTATTACCTAACAGATCTGTACATCACCTGACTATTACCTAACAGATCTGTACATCACCTGACTATTACCTAACAGATCTGTACATCACCTGACTATTACCTAACATGTATATCACCTGACTATTACCTAACAGATCTGTATATCACCTGACTATTACCTAACAGATCTGTACATCACCTGACTATTACCTAACAGATCTGTATATCACCTGACTATTACCTAACAGATCTGTATATCACCTGACTATTACCTAACAGATCTGTACATCACCTGACTATTACCTAACATGTATATCACCTGACTATTACCTAACAGATCTGTATATTACCTGACTATTACCTAACAGATCTGTACATCACCTGACTATTACCTAACATATCTGTATATCACCTGACTATTACCTAACAGATCTGTACATCACCTGACTATTACCTAACACCTAACAGATCATGTATATCACCTGACTATTACCTAACATGTATAACACCTGACTATTACCTATATCACTATCTGATCTGTATATCACCTGACTATTACCTAACAGATCTGTATATCACCTGACTATTACCTAACAGATCTGTACATCACCTGACTATTACCTAACAGATCTGTACATCACCTGACTATTACCTAACAGATCTGTACATCACCTGACTATTACCTAACAGATCTGTACATCACCTGACTATTACCTAACAGATCTGTACATCACCTGACTATTACCTAACAGATCTGTACATCACCTGACTATTACCTAACAGATCTGTACATCACCTGACTATTACCTAACAGATCTGTACATCACCTGACTATTACCTAACAGATCTGTACATCACCTGACTATTACCTAACAGATCTGTACATCACCTGACTATTACCTAACAGATCTGTATATCACCTGACTATTACCTAACAGATCTGTATATCACCTGACTATTACCTAACAGATCTGTATATCACCTGACTATTACCTAACAGATCTGTACATCACCTGACTATTACCTAACATGTATATCACCTGACTATTACCTAACAGATCTGTATATCACCTGACTATTACCTAACAGATCTGTACATCACCTGACTATTACCTAACAGATCTGTATATCACCTGACTATTACCTAACAGATCTGTACATCACCTGACTATTACCTAACAGATCTGTACATCACCTGACTATTACCTAACATGTATATCACCTGACTATTACCTAACAGATCTGTATATTACCTGACTATTACCTAACAGATCTGTACATCACCACACTATTACCTAACAGATCTGTATATTACCTGACTATTACCTAACAGATCTGTATATCACCTGACTATTACCTAACAGATCTGTATATTACCTGACTATTACCTAACAGATCTGTATATCACCTGACTATTACCTAACAGATCTGTATATCACCTGACTATTACCTAACAGATCTGTACATCACCTGACTATTACCTAACAGATCTGTACATCACCTGACTATTACCTAACAGATCTGTATATTACCTGACTATTACCTAACAGATCTGTATATTACCTGACTATTACCTAACATGTATATCACCTGACTATTACCTAACATGTATATCACCTGACTATTACCTAACAGATCTGTATATTACCTGACTATTACCTAACAGATCTGTATATCACCTGACTATTACCTAACAGATCTGTATATTACCTGACTATTACCTAACAGATCTGTACATCACCTGACTATTACCTAACAGATCTGTACATCACCTGACTATTACCTAACAGATCTGTATATCACCTGACTATTACCTAACAGATCTGTACATCACCTGACTATTACCTAACAGATCTGTACATCACCACACTATTACCTAACAGATCTGTACATCACCTGACTATTACCTAACAGATCTGTATATTACCTGACTATTACCTAACAGATCTGTACATCACCTGACTATTACCTAACAGATCTGTATATCACCTGACTATTACCTAACAGATCTGTACATCACCTGACTATTACCTAACATATCTGTACATCACCTGACTATTACCTAACAGATCTGTATATCACCTGAATATTACCTAACAGATCTGTACATCACCTGACTATTACCTAACATATCTGTACATCACCTGACTATTACCTAACAGATCTGTATATCACCTGACTATTACCTAACACATTAGTATATTACCTGTTTACCGGCTAGGACATACACATGATCCTCTCCTTTATCAAGCTGCATGTCACTTTGAATAGGAATGTTGATGTCTTTGGTTAGGTCAAAGTTCATATATGGCTCCATTAGCCTGTGATCCTCGTCAACCTTCAATATTCATATCATAGATAATGACCACACACTAATACTAACCATTTGTTATCACTTGCATGTTGTCAAACATTATTAAAACTACGGAGAAATTAGTGAAACAAGACTATCAAGAAAATAATTCTTCGTTGTAAAAGACAACCTTTAAACCGGAAATGTTTGCTATGTAGTAGATTAAAAGTTCTTACAACACAACAAGATTTGAGTGTGACGCTCCGATGACTACAGCGTCACCTTCATCAGACAAATGATCATGTGAATCGTACTTGTCTTGACATATGTAGTGTGCGAGATGGTAAGGAATCAGCCAACATTTTTCAGCCATAATATACTCACACTGAAAATAGTGTTATGTAAATTACAAATTGCTGTTTAGAATACAACTGGTGTTGATGGTTCAGAAAAATGAATGAAACAAATTGGTGGTTCTTGTAAGATGATAGTGGAATGTAAAAAGTACGATTTTGCAAAAGGTTCAGCTATCAAAGTCAAATCAGATGTAACGTGTTATTAAAGAAATCTATGTTTTGAGGTGTTAAAAATATTGATTTTATGTAGGACCGGATGTGAAATACGATTACAAATGAATGTAACTAGACAGAACATAAACAATGACAAGATGAGATTTCTTAAAGTCAGCAGTCACATATATCTATATATTGGTTTCGTCCTAGCAAAAGACCGAGATAAATGGCTGATGTAGGAAAGACTCTGGTGTTCTTGAATTCCTGTTCTGTTTGGACTTTGGACGTGGTCAATATATATTTTTTTGTTATTTAAAGACAAAACGTAATCAATGCATCTGCAAATGAAATAAAATGACTGCAACGTTTTTGTGGCTTGTTTGATAAGCTCTTCGATCAATTCAATCACGTATGAAAACAAAAGCAAGACCGCCAACAGAGGGACACAATTAGTCCCATACGTATGCCAACAGTCTGTTGGAAGACCTAACCACCAAACTCGACGAAGATGTTGTCGACCGGTAACTTGATCCTTTTTATTATGTTTTTCTTATCCTTCCTTCAATAAAACATAATACATTGATATATCAACAAGAGATTTCAAAGAACAAATGTTTAATATAAAAAGACTGAAACTTTGTAGCAAGTACTATAAAGGTTGATCTTATTACTGGTGTTGCATTATGACGTCAATATTATTGTTTCTTGATGACGTCATAATGATAATTGACGGTGTCATATCATGTCATGCTGAGAGACCTTTTTTTGTCACTTTCTCGTATTTTCATCAGAAAAGAATCATTCTTATGCTATCACATCATGATTCAATTGTATAATTCGGTAATTAAATATATATAACACAATATGTAGACTTGTATTGACCAGTGTGTATTAAACATGGCAATATATAGGCATATATTGATCTAACAGAGCTTACATAACAACCAGTTGTTACAAATGGTATTTTCACTGCAGGTAGTTGTTTATTCAGAAGTTGCAAAAACATCTGCTTTAGCGGATGTTTTTCTGTTTTGTTTTCTTTTTTAAGTTTTGAAAACTAACGAGAGTAAAAGAAATATCATATATATCAACCACGAGTTTGTGTGATTCTTTAACTACAACAAGAAAAAGCTAATAACAGGATGAATTATTTACATCATGACACGACTTGATTTACAATGACAATTTCATAAATACGTGGAAATATTATAATTAAATACAAGTCATAAAATGTGTATCTATATGTCAGTTTATTGTCTTCAAATCAATAGACCGATAGAAAACAATACAAAAATCAATTCATTACGAAACAAATCACGCACTACTATTTCAACCAATCAAAAGACCGGGATGTCATTTAGCAGTAGTGGTATATATAATATATTTATCCAACCGTCAGCACTTTTACGAAAAAGTCTGAAAGAGGAACACCACAACGTATTGTGATTGAGCAGTTATGCTCACTATCGGTCTCTGCACCTCTAAAACATTTCATGGCAAAATTTAAGGTTCCATGTGCGGCACCTTTTTGACAAGACGAAAAGACTATCATGTTGTTTGATTCTTTGATGCACATTAAATGAACCTTGAGGTCGCATAACGATATCTTGTACAGGCTTTGAAGATGAATGTCGCTGCCTTCTGTTCTGCAAATGGGCGTATCAGTCTTTGATTGGTCACTTTCCCCACTTAATCCAACTCTAGACCAATCATTTTAGTTTACTTGTGCCTTAAAATTTGCCATGAAATGTTGCAGTGGTGCAGAGAGCGAGCTATAATGATCAAAACCCATGGAGTATTATCAGAGAAGTGCAATATATACCTGTCTAGTCGACTGTTAAAGATCTTACCTTCGTTTTGATTAGATGTCCATCAAACGTGCCCATCACAGCCACCGTATCTTCGCCTTGCGTTACCACGGCAACCGATGTCAACACGCTGTTTGACATACGAGTGGTTGCCATACTCCGAACACGGTGTTCTGGTCGATGGTTCTGAATACCAATGTTACTCGAACTGCCACAGAACTCTTTGTTTCTAGGGAAAGTACTTGACTGAAGAAATATAATGAAAGGCGGGGCTGAAATCCTTAAAGCAGTTATGTTTCAGATTGTTTTGCAAAGCATGCAACGTTACAGTCCATAAAAATGGTGGCACAGTTTTGAGAATACACATCAACTAGAGATTACAAAATATTGAATTATAGTGGTAGTGAACATCCGCATCATTAAATTATTTCGTTATTTTTTTATTCGCCGAAGTCGCCTCCTGGATTTCAACGCTCTAGGTCCCTATGATATTACGCTTAATTCATTATCAGATTCTTTTTTACATGATTCTATATAAATTTGTCTTAGAAAGTGAAATTCATTGAATGTCCATTCAAAATGAAAACTAAGAAAATTAAATAATAATGACGCTATAGATGGATTGTTATTTGTTATTTTCAAAATAAGTCATAAATATATTTTCATTTATACATACCGCACACATCTTTGGGGAGGTTATTCTTCTGCCATACACCCAGGCTGGCTGTATTGCATTTCCCAGAAAGCAATCCTTTTGAAGAACAGAGAGATTCCCGAATATTTCATCAAAATCGAAAAAGCACATGACTGACCCCTCATTTTCTTCTGGATTTGGATTAAGTTGCCTGTTTGCACCAAATGTAACAAACAGCTTTTTCTCCCATAAAGACAGAAGTTTTGGCGCGTCTGCAAGGAAAGCATCTGTTGCAATGTCGTATATCTTTCCGTCATGTTCACACTGGAGAGGCAATTCTGTGTACGACGCATATGCTAAGTCATTTTTACATATCTGTATTATTTTTGTTACAAAAACGTTGTTTTCTGTTTTATTTCCAAAAGGATCCGTCATTTGTACAGAAATATGATATATATAATCTCCATACTCAAATGAGTAGATATAGTAAGACTGGAACAAATCTTGGACAGAATCATCTGCCGTTAGGTACGTCCCGTGTGTGTCCCTTCGTACGTAATACAACAAACTCCAATATGAATCAATATAGTTAAATTCTCGTGTTGAAATCATTTTTGGACGGAATCGAAAATCTCTGTAGTCCATTCCCATGGCAACATAAAGGACTTTATCTGTGCTACCAGACCGTTGGTATGGAGAACCGAACACCACTGAAACAGTGGAAGCAGATGTAGTTCCGATATAATTTACACTTTCCTTGGAATCCAGTGTATGATTGGATGAAATGTCATTAAGAAATAGACAGGAGCACAGTCCCTGGTTAGCTGAACCACACATAAGTATGAAATCTTTCTGGTCGTTAATTTCCAAGACACGGACATGGTTGGGTGTCACGGTTCGTCTTTCACTACAGGCTAGAGGTGAAGGAGGACAGTTACTATTGTCCTGCACTGGCCCAATAATATGATCCTGTACCATATTTAAGTCTTTATCTAAATGTATAATTTTATTCTTTCCTCCAACATACAAATGTCTACTTTGTGTATCCATACTTATTTGTGTTAGAGGCTGATTCTCACTGCTCACATTGTACACAACATAAAATGCAAATGTACTAATAGGCATGCACCAGAGCACAGCCAAACAAATATTTGTAAATATCATCACCTTCATGACTCGCCTGTGTGCCCAAATACAAATAGGATATATCAGATAGGCTAACTGACTGTTACGTCATCATTCCTTTTGTTTAATTAACTTGTGGTAAAAAATACTCTCTTGGTGATTCCATTATATATAGCAGTTGGTTGAGTCGATCTCTGATGCTTCTCCTCACATGTGACGTCAACAATCTCGTAAATCTAAAAACAAGAATAAAGAAATGGAGCAAACATTTAAATATAATAGATAATTTTTCAAATAGACCGCGGTTTCATTAACTTTCGTGAAATTCTTTACCTAAGAAAGCATTTCATCTTTAAAGCATACTGTCCTGTGGTGCTGGTAGACGTATATCAAGGAAACGTTGTAACACTGAGGCTATGGACTGTTATGGCTGTCGAGATGGTATTTGCGGGGTTTTGAATTAACATTATTTATTGAGAGTGGGTTTGTAAATGAATCTGTTATTTTAGAAAATAGCAATTAATATATTAATAGTGGGCGGTTGAGCTTTTACTTGGATCCGCTTAAAATGTGTGCATTAAATTGTTAAATTTGGCGTTAAAAATTGGTTTCTGTACCCTGTTGTTGAAGGATGAGATTTCTATTTGATAACATTTAGAATGATTACACAAGATAGAATTTCATTTGTGATATTGAATTTGGCAGACAACGTACTATACATGGTGACACGTGATAGCATTTGTTCTTTTGCCATATGGCATTCATTAAAGCCTTAATGTTCTGTAATATCTAATGTGTGTTTGCATGAGTAAATGACATTAATTGTTGTCTGTAGTCATGGCAGCTGTGCAATACTGGATACTACAAACATAATAAAAACAAAAAAAAAACAAAAAAAAACTGGGATTTCAAAATATGCCCTGTAGTAAGAAATTTATGGAAGTTCAAACCAGGTCACCAGTAATTCTGTGTTTTAATTTCTTTCCTTTTTAGTTTCTCTGCCAAATAAATGGTCATTTCAAGGACAACAACCGCCAGTGGACAACGAACGATAACAAACAGTTCATGCGTTGAAAATTTGAGAATGGGCGTTGTGGTGAGACAGGTCAACAACCATGGAACCACAATAGACATAGTAACAGACAGTGCTCTTGTCGGGTCCATCATTCCCAGGTGATTTAATTGAATTTTACTATTAATCACTATTTTATAAAGGAAAGTAGGAACTCATGGTCAAATGTGACCATGCAGTACCAGTTTTTTTTCACTTGAACTTAGAGCATACCTCCCAACGTCTCATCAGAGCGGCTTTGTTCACTTGGGGAAAGCGCTGCGTCTAAATAATGTTTTACATGTGAAAGGGTGATATGAATATATATCTAATTTTCATTTGGAGTTGGAGAAACCTGAGAAGTAATAGACTGTCGATTAAAATTGAACGACTCCCAATCCTGAGGTTTAGCAGAGGAAAGCCCACCCAAAACTGGGAGTGCTTATCTTATATGGCGGCAAATTTCGGCCACGCTCCGAGGCGCATTGATGCGTTAGATAACTGAATTGAGTCACGATCTTAAATAAACCCAAACTATAAGATTTCATACATTGATTATTTCCACTGTCGCTTGCTCTAGACACGAAAGAGTATTTTTTTATATTTGTTTGGCATACCTGGAACATAACTAATTTTTATGTGGAGTTTAGTTCATAATTCCTTTCCCATTTCTTTACACATCCATGGCACCGCGTGCATCACATGAATCACATCAAGCTTACCAGTATAGGAAAGTCCTCGTAAATAAATGTATGTAAGGCCGTGAAATGTACACGTATTGTAGATATTTTCAAGTATGTCTTGAAAATAACTTACTACTTTTCTCAATTAAGATTATACTACTAGCTGATGTCTCTAGTATGTGTTCTGTCACGGACAAGTATTATGTAATTTCAAAGGGAAAAAAATATAAAATCGCGTTATTAAAGCGTTATTACGACTTTCCGACTTTTGAAAAGACGTTATCACGACTTTTTTCGCGTTATTGCGACTTTTGAAAGGCGTTATTACGCTTTTATTCGCGTAATAACGCGATTTCATATCTCTCCCCCCCCACCCCCCTCTTCGAAATTTTACCTTTCTAGGCTTTCATAGATTAGAATATGTCTGAAAAACATGATAAGAAAAATTCTGTTCCAAAATTATTAAATTTATTTCTTCCTTGAGTGATACAAACACGTTCGTTGTTTCAAAATTGTTCATATTTGAGTTATACAAACATGCTTTCTGTTACAGAATTGTTTCGGTAGGAAATGACGGTAAGTTAAAAACTTACATACATACTTCATCTACTTTCATTTGGCTATGACGTTAAATTTGAATGTTGAATTACTATAACATGATTTCAAACCTATATCTTGCTTTACAATTGATCTAGGAGATGTCCTCATAATGTTATTTACTCTCGAAGGATAATTTTACGAATATATGAATGTAGAATGATAATTATAAACACTGCAATAGTTGTTATAGACATAAACGATTAGATAGACATAAAATACTTACAGTTAAGTTGTGGTACTGCTGTCACGTATCTGTGTGTATACAAGGGTTTAATGTTAGACACGCTGTTTACATACATCACACACAAACGTATACACCTCCAGTAATCATCTGTGGGGGAGTGAATGTCGTGTTAGTTTCTTTTTAGTATTACAAACGTTTAAACAATGTTCCATATGCATTTTGATGTAAATTCTATCTGTTTGAATTGTTAATTAAATCCTTTACATGTATCCCTCTGAATTTTTACAAAAATGTGTTTTACAAGCAAATAAAATCCATATATCCACTGTTTGAAATTTTCTAAAAAGATTCAATTTAGAATAGGCGTTTCTATACTACACCAATCTAAAGGTTAACACTACGACTGAATGGTCAAGTTGGCTGTTCTTACATCAGTAATTAACCTAATGAAAGGTATACCTTGATAGGAATCACCAATTCTTACATCAGGTAATTAACCTAACTCGTGTGTGAAAGGTATACCTTGATAGGAATCACCACTGATGTATACCAATAGAGAGAGAACTCATTTAATCATTCATACTCTGATAATGTGACTCACCACTGACTTGTATACTCAATTAGAGAGAGAACATTATGCGAACAGTATACAGGTATACTCTTATAGGCAAGAGAATCACAATTATACTCGTGTGTGATAACGTGACTCACTGTACGGCGTACAGGTATACTCCTATAGGCAAAAGAATCACAATTATACTCGTATACTCGTGTGTGATAATGTGACTCACCACTGACTTGTATACTCGAATTAGAGAGAGAACTCATTTATACTCGTATACTCGTGAGTGATAATGTGACTCACCACTGACTTGTATACTCGAATTAGAGAGAGAACTCGTGAGTGATAATATATACTGACGTATACTCGTGAGTGATAATGTGACTCACCACTGACTTGTATACTCGAATTAGAGAGAGAACTCATATATACTCGTATACTCGTGAGTGATAATGTGACTCACCACTGACTTATATGCTCGAATTAGAGAGAGAACACATTTATACTCGTATACTCGTGAGTGATAATGTGACTCACCACTGACTTGTATACTCGAATTAGAGAGAGAACTCATTTATACTCGTGAGTGATAATGTGACTCACCACTGACTTATATACTCGAATTAGAGAGAGAACTCATTTATACTCGTGAGTGATAATGTGACTCACCACTGACTTGTATACTCGAATTAGAGAGAGAACTCATTTATACTCGTGAGTGATAATGTGACTCACCACTGACTTATATACTCGAATTAGAGAGAGAACTCATTTATACTCGTGAGTGATAATGTGACTCACCACTGTCTTGTATACTCGAATTAGAGAGAACTCATTTATACTCGTGAGTGATAATGTGACTCACCACTGACTTATATACTCGAATTAGAGAGAGAACTCATTTATACTCGTGAGTGATAATGTGACTCACCACTGACTTGTATACTCGAATTAGAGAGAGATTTAACTCGTGAGTGATTGTGATACTGTCTTGTATACTCGAATTAGAGAGAACTCATTCATACTCGTGAGTGATAATGTGACTCACCACTGACTTATATACTCGAATTAGAGAGAGAACTCATTCATACTCGTGAGTGATAATGTGACTCACCACTGACTTGTATACTCGAATTAGAGAGAGAACTCATTTATACTCGTATACTCGTGAGTGATAATGTGACTCACCACTGACTTGTATACTCGAATTAGAGAGAGAACTCATTTATACTCGTATACTCGTGAGTGATAATGTGATAATGTATACTCACATTTATACTCGTATGCTCGTGAGTGATAATGTGACTCACCACTGACTTGTATACTCGAATTAGAGAGAGAACTCATTTATACTCGTATACTCGTGAGTGATAATGTGACTCACCACTGACTTATATACTCGAATTAGAGAGAGAACTCATTTATACTCGTGAGTGATAATGTGACTCACCACTGACTCATATACTCGAATTAGAGAGAGAAACTCAATTATACTCGTATACTTGTGAGATAACGTGACTCTCCACTTACCAATATACTTGAATTAGAGATTATAACTCACATAGGATCACAGTAGTTCACTCATGCCACATATACTCGTGTGTGATTATCGAAGGATGCTCGTATAGTGACTTGTTTACACGTGTTTGATAGTGTAACTCGTCACATGACCAGTATAACCATTTCGGAGAGAACTGACCTATCGCCAGTATAATCGTAGTGGAGGAAGTAAGTCACTAATGAGAGTACACACATATCAGAAACCATCCTGTAGACTCAATGTTGGCCAGTATTATTGTGTAGCTCACTGCTGACCTGTATACAAGTGTTTGAGTAAGTGGCACATCACAACGAGGTGGTAGTTGTTTGCACATCACTGACAATAATACACTGTTAAGAGTAAGTGCCACACTGCTGACACTTACCAGTGTAAAAGTTGCTCAGTATTAACCAGTGTACACTCGTAAGG